ACTCTGCAGCTTGTGACCTTTCGCTCACCAAACTCCATGAGCCTATCACCCCATCCTGTAGCCTATCACCCCATTTGTGGAGTCCTGTAGCTCAGTGGTTAGAGCACTCGCTTTGCAAGCGAGAGACCTGAGTTCAATTCCAGGCAGAGGGCGAAACCTTGGGCAAGTTTCCTTACTCCACACAGAGCCTAATAATAATCCCTCCAAAAACCCAAAACAGTAATAAATTGGTCATTTTCAATCTACGACTGTTTGTGGGACATTGCTGTGTGCAATTGGCTGCCGCGTTTGCCCACAAATATACAGTCAATTCACTTTACAGTGTGTTCTGTGAAGCGCTTTGGGACGTCCTCCCGACGTGAAAAGCGCGATATCAAATGCAAGAATTATTATTATTATTATCCTCATCTGGCTCCCCATCCCACAAATAATCAAGTTCCTCATCTCCACCATTAAAGTCTTGCCCCTCCCTTCGCCTGTGACCTGTTAAAACCTTAACAGCCTGCCCGCTCCCTCCACTGGTGGGCAATGGCGTGCTTTGTGTCCCCTCCCCGCCCACTCCACTATTGGCAGTTGGGCCTTCAGCCTCTCTGTTCCTGCTCTCTGGAACTCCATCCCAGAGTCCCTTTGTCTCTCCCCTTCCCTTGCCTCCTTCATGACCCATCTCGAGACCTTCCTCTTTGACTGTGGCTGAGGTCATCCTCCCACCACCCTTAGCCTCCACCCCTCTTGACTCCAACCCCAAGTTTGGGGGCAATCTATTGTACAGTGCCTTTGGGCATCCTGCCGACATAAAAGGCTCTCTATAAATGCAATTTGTTGTAGCGGTAATGCATACGTACAGTTCCTGTAGATAAAGCGAGTAGATTACATTATCCATCAACTAATTTTTGAGAACGTAGTATGAATAGTGAAAAATTGGTTAAGAAAAAATAGGCCTGGGTTCAAATTAGCATATACAGAACATTTATGAGGTGTGTCGAGTGCTTACTCTTGATTATCCCTGCCCCTATTCCGCTTTTTTTCCACACGGGAACAGCTGTATCTCATTGTGTGAGGATTTGTGGTGCAATGAATTGGAAGCTTTTAAGTAAATGACAATATTTTCTTAAAAAACAGTTTTTGAACTTTAATTCTTTCTTTGACTGAGATTTGAAGTGGTCCAGGCGGGCTGCTTGAAAACTGATTCATGTCTGAATTGACCATTTCTCCTTTGATAAATGCATCAATAAACAGTTCCTGATTTTGAGACATTTCCAAATGACAGAGAATGTCCCTGGAGAAATGAATGGGATTCCCACAATTGATGTGGACTCTCCTCGGGCATTACTCTGAGGGGAGGTTAAGTATATGAAACAACAAATTCATATGAAATAAGCTGTGAAATCTGGAATAGAAACAGAAAATATGGGAAATATTCAGCAAGCCTAAAGGAGAAAAAGTTTTTTTTGTGTAGAACTTTTTGTCAGAATTGAATTATAAATTTGTTCAGTTTGGTTTAACATATGCAATGGCTGTTATAGCAGCAGGCCAGGCCATTATACTGTAATGTCTGTGCTTGTGGATGGCTGTGATGGGTGCCTTTTGATCTTGACTTATGTCACTGAATTTTGCCTGCCAAAGCAGCTCCCCTTCCCTAAAATGCCTTGGGTTATCTTACTAAATCTGCTACTGTTCACAGCATGTAGGTACATGGCACAACTTGGATCTAATACTCCAGAAATAAGTATATTTGGCTTCATTTGTCTATATGGTAGGGGTATCCGCTCCAATATTTAATTACTGTGTTGATTTCCTTCTTTGTCAGGACTGGTAGTGGAGGATGACCCCAGAGAATATGCTTGCTTTGCTTGATGTTGAATTAGTGGAGAGTTCTTTTTTGGGGGCAACCAGGTGTCAGACACATACAGAAACCCATTGCCATGCTTAAGAGTATCCAAACCAACTTGAGAGTTCCATGTAGCCCACCCTATACATGGGAATTCCATGGACATTTATTGGAATGGAGTGTGCACTATCTCCCTAGATGCATTATGCTGACCAAATTCTGAAGATTATTAGGCACAGATTGGCACCCAGAGAGGCTGGGGGTCCCAAGAGCATGCATTGGGGTACTGCTGGAATCTAACCAGCTAAAGCCGCGTATCTTGCCATCGAGAACACTCTCTGGCAAGCGTTTCTGTTAGACCTTTGGCTTTCAGGGTTAATTGGAAGAGTCCCTGCCCCCAGTGCTTCGTCTGCCCAGGAACTGGACTACTGTACACAATTTTGACATTCGGTTGCCAAACGTTCACCTTGGAAGCTGTTCAGCTCCAAACAAGACCCCATTTACCTACTCTTCCCTCTCCAAACCCCCCCCCCCCACCTCAGCTCCAAAGAAGACCCCATTTACCAACTCTTCCCCCCACCCACAACTCCAAAGAAGACCCCATTTACCCCCCGCCCCTTACCACCACCGGCACAAAGTTGGTAATTTGTCATCCAACTAGTGTGGGTTTAAGCCCGCACTAGTCAATGGCAGATACCAGGCACTCCCTGCAAGCTTCCTGGTGGGCTTCCTTGCTCCTGGAACCATAGAAATTTACAGCACTGAAGAAGGCTGTTCAGCCCTTCTTGTCTGTTGGCTCTTAAAAATTGCAATCCCTATAGTACAATTTACTCGCCCTTTTGCATATTCCTGTAATTGACTCCTTTTGAGATATCTATCTTGTTCCCCTTTGAAAGCTAATGTGCATTCTGCCTTTAAAGAGCTCTGTTTTGTTTGTTTCTTCCTCTTTTGTTCAGTCATTTTTTTTTGTAAAGTTAATGTAATAGGGTTACATTTTTTTCATTCTCCTTACAATAAGGTCTGCTGCCATGTTTTTGTGAAATAGTGTTTATTTCAGTTATGGAATTTTGGTTCCTGTATCAGAAATAAAAAAAATTCCTGTCTGCTTTGGCACTGAAGAATGACTGGATTTTTAACTGGGACTATAGATTTCTGCATCTGATTTACTGCGTTGCTTGTCATTTTACGCCATTTCTAGTACAGTATTTCCTATGATTTACACAAGGACTCCCAAAGAAACTTGTCAACGGTTGCAACTTTTTGTACAAACATTTTTGAGAATATCCTGAGACAGATACATTTTATCAGCTGTGTCCTCGAGGTTGCTTCTTTGAAAACAATAGTGACTATCTTTTGAGTGGATGAGGTTGCGGGAAAGGGTGTAAACTAAGTTGTGGCTGTGATTAAAGTCCTAGGGATAGACCATTAGTGGCATTGAAAATCTGTTTAGCCTCATAACATCAGCAGGATGTTAACAGTGCAGTAAATTATCATATCCTCTTCAACTTGCATTTATGAGACGTTCCAGTATTTATTGATGTGCATCCTTTTGCTATTTTCTGCCCTCCTTTCCTGAAGCACTACTTCATGCAAGAAATGTAAGATTCTATGAGCCCACATTCCTTCTACTGTCAAAATGGCTTTCCCCTTCAGAGTTGGCTATTCATTTAGGAGCCTAGATCGTGGTGTTCAGCATCATAGCCAAGCCTGATCCAATCCCCCCCCCCCCCCCCCCCCCCCCCCGACCAACATTCACTTAGACTTAAGATTCTGCTTCCAAGTAGAAATAGTTCAGTTGGTGCCATTCTTCCACATATAATAATCCTTGCATTTGATATAGCGCTTTTCACGTCTTTGAGATGTCTCAAAGCACTTCACAGAATATACTGTAAAATGAACTGACTGTATATTTGAAGGCAAAACGTGGCAGCCAATTGCGCTCAGCAGTGTCCCACAAACAGCCGTGGATTGAAGTGACCAATTTATTATTTTTTTCTTGAGAGATTATTATTAGGCATGTGGAGTAAGGAAACTTGCCCAAGCTTTTGCCCTGCCGGAATCAAACCCAGGTCTCTCGCTTGAGAGGCGAGTGCTCTAACCACTGAGCTACAGGACTCCACATATGATGTATCAAACAATTTTCCAGATTAATTCATCATTCACAGCATGGATATTTGAGACTTTACTGATGCTGTGTTTGTCTGCAAGTAATTGATTTATCATAATTACTGATGAATTGCTTAGAGACATTTTGATGTGATGAGGCATGATATATAAAATAATGTAAAAATTAATAATTTACTGCTCAATACTGATGCGAAGGGCTATGGCTGAACATGGAGATGCTCCATGTGCTACATGGCCTAAAACATTGTTGTATTTTGCCCGAATGTTTGGATTGTTGTTGGAGAGCTTTATTTTCAAGAGCAAACAGTTAAGATTAATCATTATTAATTAATTATAATAATTTAGTCACTTAATCCACAGCTGTTTCTGGGACACTGCTGTGCACAATTGGCTGCCCCATTTTGCCCACAAAATATACAGTCAATTCACTTTACAGTATATTCCATGAAGCACTTTGAGAAGTCTCGAAGACGTGATAAGCCTCTATATCAAATGCAAGGATTATTATAAGTATTATTATTAATATAGTGTAAACTGAAAATGGTTTGCTTACAATTGAAAGAGTGATGGAAGCAGATTTGAAAGTAGCTTTCAAAAGGGAATTGGATATGTACTTGAAAGAAAAAAATGTGCAGTGCTATGGTAAGAGAGGGATATTGGGACAAGTTGTTTAGCTCTTTCAAATGAGCCTGCACAGGCACGATGGGCAGAATGGGCTGTAAAATTCCACAATTCTATGATTCTATTCCTTGGAACTCAGTGAGTTTACAATTTATTAACCATGCAAATATGAAGCAACTGCTCACATATGGGATATTGAAGTCCCATTGTTCATGTGGTTTCTTATTATTAAATTTGCATTAGCAATGGATGTGGGAGCATCTGCAGCTTTGTTTACTTGGGCACTTCTACTAACAAAATAATTTGAGTGTATGTGTTTGTAGATGAGCTTTGCTGGGAAATGACAGGATCACTGAGTGCTCTGTGCAACCCCATGAGGTCTTTTAGCAGTGCTTTTAATCCTGTATATCTGCTTTTCCTGCAGGTTGCTGTGAGTCATACAATTAATTATCATCATGTCTACAGAAAAGGCGAGGGTAAGTAGTTCTACGCTGCAAGTACACAGTTAAATTGACTGAGCTGATTTGAGCCATTCTTTGTGTACCATGTTTGTATTGATAGAGTGTAGTTTGCTATGTAATGGTGAATTACATTTGATTCACAACGACAGGCTTTCAGCCACTGGGATCCGAAACTTTAGAATCCTCTTCCTCTGTCTTACCCCTTCCTGCCCCGTCTTCAGGTCGAGCCTGAATACTTTCCTCTTTGACTGTACCTACGATCCCCTCACCCTGGAGTGGCATCGAGCTCCGACACTGTCAAGCGCTCCAGGATGCTACCCTGCGTGAGGGGAGCTAGTTAAATAATAGAATCATAGAATTATACAGCATAGAAGGAGACCATTTAGCCCATTGTCTCTGTGCCAGCTCTTTTAAAAGAGCTATCCAAATCAATGCCACTCCTCCACACTCTCCCCATAGCCCTGCAAACTTGTCCTCCCCAAATGCAAGTTGTTGTTATAGAAAGGCTGAGACGTTAGTTCTTATTTATAGTTCTCAAGTTTGTAAAGACATCAGACAGCTGGGGGTAAAGCATAGTGGGTTGGGGTATATCAGATCCGATGCTTACGCACGCACATATGCACAGGGAGAAGGGTGTGCAGACTTTTAGATGGCTTGGATGGATGTTGTTACATATTAGGAGAGTTCTGAGTCTTGTACACTGTACGCATAATAATTAAATTGTGCTGTATGTGAGGAGGAGGCTGATGATAGAAAAAGCCATAAGCATACCCACAGGAAGTCTGTACAGTTTCTGTTTTGAATCTGGCATTCCACAGTGGATAGTGCTCTCAATAACCAGTGTGTGTGTGATTGGGGGGTCGGCGGGGGAATTCTAAATTTGGGGGAGGTCTACAGATCAATATCTTTCCATGAAATGTAATTTGTATGAAATTGAAATTTGAACGTGAAATTGAAATAGAACATGGAATTTGCATTATAAATACTTATTTTTCATATTTTGCTTAAAATGCTCTTCACTGTAAGGTTTGTGTTCATTTGCTGAAGGTTTTCCTATTTGTCAAAGTTTTATCCAAAAAAAAGGTAAGGAAAAAGCCCTGATATAATTATGTTAAATCCATTACCAAGAAAGACCTTTCTTGAAGTGTTTGAGTATGATGCACTGCATGTGTCAGCTCCATTCTTTCAAATCACAGATCACGTGTTCCTAGTTATTAAAAGGGTATCCCTTTTATTCAAATTATTCTCATTAAAAATAGAGAATTGATTTATGATTTTCTTCTATATTGTGGAATCCTCATGTTAATGTCATACTTGACAGCGTCCTCTTTCAGCACTCATGTGATTATTACACACCTTGCTCACTGGAGCTGAGCGAGGAGGATAATAATAATAATAATAACCTTTGCATTTGATGTAGAGCCTCATCACATCTTTGAGACGTCTCAAAATACTTCACAGAATATACTGCAAAGTGAATTGATTGTGTATTTTGTGGGCGAAATGTGGCAGCTAATTGCCAACAGTAATGTCCCACAAACCGTCATGAGTTGAGTGACCAAACTATTTTTATTATATATGTATATATGTTTTTTTAAAGGGATTATTATCTCCGGAAAAGTGATCCGCCAATTAACTAACCACTGGGTTCCTACTTATTGCCCATAAACAGAGTAAAACAGAGGCATATGGAGTGAGGAAACTTGCCCAACGTCTCGCCTTCCTGGGAATCAAACCCAGGTCTCTTGCTTGTGATCTGACCACTGAGCTACAGGACTCCACGGGGTGTTAGGCTTGCAGAGCCTGGTGTGGGAGAGGACATGGACTCTGAGGTTCTGGATAGTCTGCAGTGAAGGGACGAGCTGGAGAGTCTGGCAAGCTGAATTTTGGCATAGTCAAGCCTGGACATGATAAAAGTGTGAATGAGAATCTTGGAAGAGAAGTGTCAAGAAGGGAAGGAATGTGAGCTACTGAAGAGGGGTTCACTCCCTAGTGCGCAGGACAGGCAGGTCTTGTGGTGGAACTGGGGGATGGGCAGTCAGGGTGGCTGCTTTTGCACAGTCATCAGCAGGTTCGACGATGAGCCTGGTGGAGGAAGCCCAGGCTGGAGCAGAGGGAGGCATTGAAACAGTTCAGGAGGGGGAGAAGTCAGGGAGGATGTTAGGAGAGAAAAAAGTGAGTAGAAGTAGTAGGAGATAGCACAGGAAGGTGAGAGAGAGTTTAGCAGTGCTGGAAACAGCACTCCTCAACTCTCACCTCCCCTGCTGTCTCCTCGTGTCAACTTGGGCTCAGGCCTAAATTAATAAGGTGTAGCTATTATTGGCAAAGAAGATTCCAAGTATTTTAAATTTAGAAGCTATCCATGTTTACCATGGCTTTGTGGTGGTCTGTGTGCAGGAATGTGGGTTATGCCCTGAACTGATAACCTCTTGCGTGCAGAAGGAATGACTCATGCATTCATAATCTGTCCAATGCTTCTAACGTCTTTGGTGTGAAAGAGAGAGAAGACCTGACATCAAAAGAATGTTTCTTTTATACCCATTTGCTAAGATTGTTGCACGGCAGGAGAGCATTGTATTTCGAATGGTTTCAAATCCATGTTTTGTGATGTGTGTGAAACCGTTGTATTCATTGAATATGTGGTTAGTGGCCTTATCTGTGATTAGAAAGGAGCTGTTTGCAGACGTGTCTGGAGATTTTTACTTGTTCAGTGGTCCAGAGCATGCCACTTTTCTGTACTAATTTCTGAATAAAGCGATGAATGCATTACTCAGTCCTGTAACATCATATATCCGTGAACTCTTGCTAAAAGTGAGATTCATGATCCCAATGAGTGAATTGCAGATTGCAATTCCCTTAAACCTCTGGAGCAGATTCATCTTTTACATTATTCACATCAGTTTATTTTATTTTAATAGAGTCAAGTGAATGACTTGACAGATGTATGTTTTATTTGTGTCAGGTATTACATTAGAGTACATTAGTGTGGAGTCCTGTAGCTCAGTGGTTAGAGCACTCGCTTTGCAAGTGAGAGACCTGAGTTCAATTCCAGGCAGAGGGCGAAACCTTGGGCCAGTTTCCTTACTCCACACAGAGCCTAATAATAATCCCTCCAAAACCAAAAACAATAATAAAATTGGCACTTTCAATCTACGACTGTTTGTGGGACATTGCTGTGCGCAATTGGCTTCCGCGTTCGCCCACAAAGTTACAGTCAATTCACTTTACAGTGTGTTCTGTGAAGCGCTTTGGGACGTCCTTCCGACGTGAAAAGCGCTATATCAAATGCAAGGATTATTATTATTATTATTATTCGAATATACAGCACAGAAACAGGCCATTCGGCCCAACTGGTCTATGCTGGTGTTTATGCTTTATATGAGCCTCCTCCTGCCCTTCCTCAACTAAGCCTTCAAGCATAACCTTCTATTCCTTTCTCCCTCATGTACCTATCTAGCTTTCCCTTAAATACACCTAAGCAATATGGCTGCAGCCATCTTTAGATCTCTCCCAGATGCACCTTTTCTCTCTCTAGTCTGCCTATTTTGTTGCAATTTCCCCCCCTCCTTTTGCATTATTAACACCTCTATTCTGTTTTGTTGCAATCTCCCCCTTTGTTTTGCATCATTAACACCTCTTTAACCCATCATCCACTGTCCTCTACCCCATTTTCTCCTTTGTCTTCCTTGCCCTGCCTTCCCCCTCTCTGTTAGCCCTTATAGGCCTCTCTCTTCCAACATGCCCAGTTCTGACGAAGAGTCGTGGACCAGAAACGTTGACTCACTTTCCTTTCTCCACAGATTGTGGAGTCCTGTAGCTCAGTGGTTAGAGCACTCGCTTTGCAAGTGAGAGACCTGAGTTCAATTCCAGGCTGAGGGCGAAACCTTGGGCAAGTTTCCTTACTCCACACGTCTAATAATAATCCCTCCAAAAAACCAAAAACAATAATAAAATTGGTCATTTTCAATCTACGACTGTTTGTGGGATATTGCTGTGCGCAATTGGCTGCCGCGTTCGCCCACAAATATACAGTTAATTCACTTTACAGTGTGTTCTGTGAAGCACTTTGGGACGTCCTCCCGACGTGAAAAGTGCTGTATCAAATGCAAGGATTATTATTATTATTAGATGTTGCCTGACCTGTTGAGTGTTCCCAACGACTTCTGTTTATATTTTAGACCTCCCCTGTTCAGCACTGCGATGAATATTGTATATGCTGCTTGTTTTGCCTGCTCATTGAGGAAAGGAACTTATTCCCTTTTCATATTATCGTATCCCCAGACATTTTTTTTGTATTTTTGTTCAATATCCTAGGTATAGACTGTGCCTGAAAAGCTTGACCAAACTTGTTATGCAGCAGTCCTTCTGTTGCTTTGCTTTTCTGGAAGTTATACAGTCTTGTGTTCAGTTATCGCACACTTCACCAGTCACAGACACAAACGCCAGAACTAGGTGTAATGCACTCATGCTTTCACAAGGAGTTTATGAGGGGTTCTTGATCTTGAAAGTAAGTGGAAGACTGCTTTATTGTTTAAGTGGAGAAAAGCTATGCTGTTAATGTAGTTAAGGCAAAAAATACATGGGATAATTTATAAATAAATAATCTTTGTATTTGATGTAACGCTTTTCATGTTGAGAGATGTCTCAAAGCGCTTCACGGAATTTACTGTAACATGTTTGGCGAACTTAGTTGGTAGGAATTACAATATTTTTAACAGTCTAATTTGTTTCTCAAAGTTTCCAACAAGAAGTACAGCACATAACAACAAAAAACATTTGGTATTGTGGGCAAACAAAATGGTGATTGCTATAGTTTGGATGAGAGCTTGGAATTGGTTGCTGATCAATAGCTATACAGTTGTAGATGTGCAATCAGCGTACCCTAAAATGAGTAGACGATGAGCAGCAACGGGCTGAGATCTTGAGAGAAGTATTGATGGCTTTTTTTAAATTCTCTGATGAATAATTGAATTCTATATTAATGAACCGATAATGCTATTTTTTGTAGATTAAAGATGGTAAGAAGGTGTTTTTATCATTAATCTTCAGAAGGTAGTTAGTGTATCTTTTGTAAGTACCAGGTATGAGGGATTGGTAGATCAACTGCGCAATTCGCACAACTCGCATTGGGCATCAAAGTTAATGGGTGCTGAAAACGTTGGTCTGAAGTCCAACACACCTATGTGTAAACAGTAAATTATATTATACTAGCAATATTCTACATGGCAAGGGAAAATAAAGATTCTTCACTACAGTATAGAAATAGATTTGCAATATATAGTACTGAATACAGCTAAACCTGAGTGCTCCCTTTTATTGGGTTTGAACATGTTTTGCATATATCTAATACCTTGAACTTTAATTGAGTTCAGTGGAGCTGGGCTGGGAGGCTTGCTTTTGTTGAATTCAGGGCTACTCAATGAAATAATGGTTCTGTCGAGTATTATTCTTTAATACTAATTCAGCATTTCAGGAAATGCTTTTGTGAACATACTGTGTGTGGGAGGGGATGAGAGCTGGTAAATAGGGTTGTCTCTAGTGGAGGAGGGGAAGGATGTTGCTACTGCTATACTTTGTTTCATATAGTTTCCATTCCAGCTTGTCTGAATGACTCAAGGGAATTGAACTGATTTGGAATTCCTTTGTTTTAACAGTTTCCAGATGTTGCTGGGTATGTGGGATTCGCGAACCTGCCCAACCAGGTCCATCGGAAATCAGTGAAGAAAGGTTTTGAATTTACGCTGATGGTTGTCGGTAAGTTGTTCCCTTGTTGAACTCTGTTATGTCTTGCAGTAAATCCCCACAATAATGTGCACATTTGGAGGAAGGGAGAAAGGTAATTCAATACACACTCTAGGGAATTACTATAAGAATAAATGCAAGTTTAATTTTCTTAAAGAGTGAAACATTTACTTTTGGTTCTCTTCCCCCCCACCCCCTCTCCGCCCCCACCTCCCCGGCTCTCACCTTCAGCTACAGCTCCCAGCTCAGGTTCCCAGTTTGCATTGTCAAGCGCTTTGGGATACCCTCCCAACATGAAAGATGCTTTATAAATGTATGGTGTATTGTATTTCAAACTGGTATGAAAAATTCTGATTCTGTTACTGAAGTAAAATTGTGATATTTCTAATTCCCATTTTAGTAGAAAAAGGTTTGCTTTACATTAATTTGGAAGAAAGGTAATTCAAAGCCAGATAAAGCAAACCTTGAGCAAAGCAAAATAATATATATTTTTTACAAGTTTGGTGTTTAAAATTAGTGCTTTCTCTGCCCAAAAAATCTGTTGGATGGGTAGAGAGAGTTGGCCCTTTGCTCATTCCATTCTATGTCATTCCTGTCGTAGTCCCTGGTCCTGCCAAGAAATCGGTTTCGTCATTGTGGTTCAGCAGAGTGCAACAAATTTGCTGGCAGCAGATGTTTTTTGCATTGATTCTGTGTCAACGGGTTCAAAGGCAAACTTAGTTTTGTGTTAATCATAGGCCTAGTAAGAGTTGCTGGGTTAGGAATAAGCTATGTCTGATGTTTGATTGCTGAGTGAGCTACGTGTTAAAAGATTAGTTGGTATGTTGCATTCAAGCATTCAATTACAGATCCTTTTTCCTGCGTAGACTGAATGTAATTTGTTTTGATTAGTGGATGATAGTTTAGGATTTAGTGACATTATTGCCATTTCGTTGCAAAATAATTCATGCCAGCCTCTGGTGCATATACACGCCTTTCACATTCTCTTTCAGGTGAATCTGGTCTTGGAAAATCAACATTGATTAACAGTCTTTTTCTGACTGATCTATACCCCGAGCGCTATGTACCCGGGGCTGCAGGTGAGTGGATTTTACAAGATATTTCAGTTTTTAAAGGTTACCTTGTATATAAGTCATTGATGCTAATATTCCTGCTGATTTCTCCATTTTTGACTTGGTGGCCAAGGCACATTAGCTTTTTGTCTCAATGAAATCTTGGTGCTGAGTGCTATGTGATAGTCATGACAATCATTGTCAAAAGGCTTCTATAATTCAGTTAGTAAAAGTCTGCCCAGTGAGAAACTTCGCTCTGCAGTCTAGGAAGATAACGTGTTTAACCCATGACTTCATGCTAACCAGGGCAGCAGTCAGGGCTATACAACGTCTGGCTGAATAGACTGAGGTTCTATTCCTCAGAACAGAGGAGGTTAAGGGGTCATTTGATTGAGGCATTTAAAATAATGAAAGGAATTGACAGGTTAGATAGTGGGTGGCTTTTCTCTTTGGTAGAAGCATTCATTACAAGAGGCCTATCTGAAAATCAAAACTAAGACAGAACTGGAGTTTGAAAGCATTTTGTCACACGGAGATTTGAGAAGATGTAGAATGCTGTGCCCCAGAAAGGTATAGAGATGGAATATATTGGAGATAAAATATTTTAAAAAGAAAAAAACAGACAAATATGTTGTAGAAGAATTAAGGAGTATAATAATATTCCTTGCATTTGAAATAGCACCTTATCATGTTGTTGAGACATCTCAAAACACTTCAAAGAATATACTGTAAAGTAAATTAATTTTATATTTTGTGGGCAAAATGGGCAGAGTAATGGAATTAAAAGATTTAATTCAGATCTAATAGATTAGAGGAACAGACACAATGCACTGTATTGCCTTTTCATGTTTCATATGATCACAGTCATTATAGGTGGAGATAGAAAGTTATATGCAAACTGATGAAATATCCAACTAATATTTTCACAGAAAAAATTGAAAGGACAGTTCAAATAGAAGCTTCAACTGTGGAAATCGAGGAACGGGGAGTGAAACTTCGCCTAACTGTTGTGGACACGCCAGGATACGGTGACGCTATCAACAGCCAAGACTGGTAAGTAACCTTTTTCAGCACGGGCCCCCTGACACACTCTGGAGGTTCAACAACAACAAAATTACATTGGTATTGAGTAATGTACTAAAACAAGCTCGTCAGCAATTAAATAGAATTTGTAACGCTTCTTGTTAAGACTCACAATGTGATTGTTTTGTGGGACAATCAATATTCCATATTGAATCATTCTGCTTTTTTGAGGTTGAACTAACTGGTTACTTTTCTCCTTTCTCTCCTGGGATTGATAATCTTAATGGAGAGTTTGAAGCACAAGCAGTACTGGGATGATCTTAGGCTTTATGACTTGTTTACAGAGCACTCCAGGGATATGTGTGACTCAGTTGAGTACTTTGTGGTAGAGGTCTTCTTTGTGGACAAATTATTGTTTTTGCTTGATGTGATATATTGATTTGACCTTTTTATAGCATGAATTTATAATAGATGTTTTTAAAAATATCCCCAAGGTTATCTTCACACATCCTCCCTCCGGTGATGGAAATGCTGTTGTTGGAAAGGCTTTGGGCTTTGGATGGTTATCTGAAGTCAGACAGTAATAAATTGTTGTTAGTAACAATTCCTTGCCAGTAGAGGCCACTGCAGTTTTGCATGGTGTGAAAGAACTGTTAATTACTTTTAACATCTTAAAATTTGGTATTAATTTTTACTACCACTATCAATTTTGGGAAGTTGTAAGAGAAGAAATTCTGTTGTTCTTTCAAGTCTTAGTTGGTTCCTGACATAATTCCCCTCTTCTTAGCAAATTGATTGAAACTATTCTGATAAAAAGGTTTTAAGAGGCTTCTTTTGATGTTATAAATGAGCCACACACAGGACCAACTCTTTAATGATACCTTTCTTCTTGCAGTGCAATACTTAATGTTAGATTTGGACTGTGTTGGGAGTGAGATACATATGCAGCTGGGCGACTTGGTCAGGTCTCAGGAACCACATAGAAGACTTAAAGGAGTGTCGATGATTAAACAAAATCTTGAAGGTTTGCATTTGCTCCATGTTTCCAGCAGTAAGATGGTTTGGAACAGGAAGTCTGAATATTCAAAATAGTTCAATCAATTTGTTAACATTCATAAGAATAGTGTCAATTTGCATCAATCAAATTTATACTGCACTGGGGACAATTGATGTGCTGTCAAAACAACTTCCAGAGAAAACCTTAGTATAAAGAAAACTCCTGTGCAGTTCTGGGGGTGTTCTGAAATGTTAGAGGTGCCATCTTTTAGGTAAACCAAGATCATGTTCAGGTTGCCGTTAAATATCCCATCACACTATTTGAACAGAAAAGGGAGTTTCTCCAGGTCTCCTGGTTGATAACCCACCAAATAAAATCGATCATTTACTGTGGGACATTGCTTTGTGCAAATTGGCTGCTCCATTTGCATACAAATACAGTCAATGCGCTTCATAGTTAAATCTTGTAAACATCGATGTGATGAGGCATTATATCAAAGGCAGGGTTTATTATTAAGCTTTTATTAATATGATATGGATTCAGTTGTTATCCTGGACATTTTTTTAATGAGATTGGTTGTGCTGTAATGTGAAAACCTGACTAAAATTGCTCAGCATTATTGAACAAGTTCAGATTCCTATATCAAAAAAACTTTGTTGTTTCAAACAATTTGTAGTTATTCTTCTGAACGCTCACTTTCATTGTGCCTCTGAATCTTACAGATATCAGATTATTGTGTTTTATGGTGCTCCGTATCCTAACTGTCAGTCATGTTGTTGTTCTTGTGCTGGTTGGTGTGGTATGGTACGAGTGATTAAATGTGTGAGTCTGAGTATTAGTTATTGTCTTGAGTTGATGTTTCACTGAATATTCAAGAATACTTCATCAGCCACAATTACTGGCTGAAAAATGTTCTGATTCCGAGACACTTTTTGTTTGAATCTGATGAATTTAGTCTACATGCGAGTCTCTTCCTGTGGGAACAGTGAGCTCAGAGGTATCGAAAGGCAGGAGCAGTATATCACAATGGCCTCTCTTCCTTTCAATTGTGCTGTGTAAATCAGCAATGGGGATTGGAGGGGGAGGTTTGAGAGAGGAAAGGGGTTCTGTTTGTTTCATACATAAACTACAATCCAGAGACACAATGAAGTAATTGAGGGCTTTATTGTTTGTGTGATTGTAGAAGTATGTTATAAATTTAAAATTAAGGATATTGGATGGTACTCACGGGATAGGAATGTTCTTTAGTTCCCTGCTTTGCTGAGTTTTTCAGGATAGAGTGGAAATCCAAAGAAATATGTTTGGTGAAAATATTGTATTTTTTCTTTTGGCTTGATTACATGATATTAAAACACAACAGGTGTCTTAAGCTCTATTTTGAAATAACATACAAAAGCTGGAAAATAAACTGTATTGTTTGTCTTATAATTCCAAGTCAGTAACTTATTCTGAAGTTTTAACACACAGTTAAGTCAGTGTACTGTTAATGGTAAAAGTTATGGCCATGAGTATAGTGTCTTTTTGGGGAGTCTCTTTGGGTTCTGGAGTGAGTTCAGATGCTGCCCAAACCATTCTATTCCTGGCAACAGCAACAACAAAAATACATTTGTATAGCACCTTTCATGTCGGGAAGACATCCCAAGGCACTGGACAGACAGAGTTACGGGCCCGAACTGGGGGTTGGAGTGGGGAAGTGTGGAGCCCAGGGGGGGAAGCAGGGAGATTGAAAGCACGGTCGAAGAGGAGGGTCTTGAGGTGGGTCTTGAAGGTGGCGAGGGAGGCAGTGAGTCGGAGGGACTGCGGGATGGAGTTCCAGAGGGTGGGTGCAGAGTGGCGGAAGGCCTGCCCACCAATAGTGGGGTGAACAAGGTGGGGGACGTGAAACAGGCTGGAGCCCACTGAGCGGAGGGGATGAACACAGTGGTAGGGGGTTAGGAGTTCAGAGAGGAAGTGGGGAGCAAGGCCATGGAGGGCTTTGTAGGTGAGGACCAGGATCTTGAACTGTATCCTCTATGTGATGGGAAGCCAGTAAAGTTGGGCAAGGATGCGGGTGATAGGGTCGCAGAGCCTAGTCCGGGAGAGGACACAGCCTATGGAGGGAGGAGTTGGGGAGGCCGACAATCAGTGTGTTTGCATAGTTGAGCCTCGATGTAATGAAGAGGATGGGATGTTCTTGGTTCAGAACGCTGCTGCTTTGAAGTCAATGAGGGGCAGCAATGTTTGAATGGGTGCCTATGGGGTTGGTGTTGAGGGAGCAAATCTGAGACTCTAGGAACCTGATGATTCCACGTGTGTGTTTGACCAAACTTTTGTTTCTCAGTTTGTCCTTTTTGTTTTACTCCCTTTGTAGCTTCAGACCCATTATTCAGTATATTGACAATCAGTTTGAGCGATATCTTCACGACGAGAGTGGCCTGAACAGACGACATATCATAGACAACAGGGTCCACTGCTGCTTTTACTTCATATCCCCCTTTGGTCATGGGTAAGTAAAAGCCCTGATTCTACATGATTTGTGACTAGGAAATGTACCCAGTAATGGTATACAATATAAAATTACATTTGTATAGCCCCTTTCACATTGGGAGCATGTCCCAAGGCATGGCGTGATACTGTTAACATCACACTACTGATGTTTAGGGTATGAGAAAGCAAAATGTCTCATTGGATAATGTTCTTTGTCTTTCCCTTAGAGAAAGAAAACTGTTTCCGCAAGCTTTTCATTGTATGGTGATTGTGGCCTTTTCTAATTTTTGTTCTTCTTCTTTCTTCTCCCCTATCCCTGTAGAGTTGTCAGTGGTTTATGTAATTACCCAGTTGAGATTGGATGCTGATATGCTAGAGTTGAACTTTTGAAAACTGTTGAAAAATGAACTTTTGTACCTTTTGAGCTATTGTATTGTGCTTTTATTTTAAAAAAACAAGTTTTACTTTGTTTGAAGTAGTCTCTTCAGATGTCAGTTTATTTATACAAGAATGAATTCCCATTTCATAAACAAACTCTTAACTTCCTCTGCAAATGGTGATACAGATATTGCCATTTGAGTAACTTAATCTTTGTTTTCAGTCCATCCGTCCACCGCCATGGCTCGTGTTATATGCATTTCACAGGTGCCATAACCTTCCTGTATTTTCCATATGTAGTTGTACTTGTGAGCCTCTGTAGCGTGTATCAGTGGCTATTTAGATGTGGGGGCCATTCACATCTACCCCTCAATAATATCTTCACTTATGCCTTCACCCATGTGTTTCCAGCATGATCAATGAATACGTCTTTAATAACCAGCTATTGCATTATGGATTGAATCTGGGAGCTTCTTGGTCTGAACTTTACTACCACATGATATAGTCTGTTAGGAGGGTGCAGTAAATTCTCTTAAACTTTTTTTTGCCGTATTTTATTTAAAAGTAAGTCGTTTTACATAGAGATGGCAGTAATCCAATTCCACCACAAGTGATGTCTATCAAGTAGTGTAGATGGTTTAAGTAGCTGGAATGTAATGAGACAAAGTACAGCTGCATGTTTGCAAGGCTGAATCAGAACTTCACTCCGTTAATGATTTTAGTTTTGTTGCCAGTTTTTTATTTGACATTTGTTATGTTGTAACAGTGGCAAGGGAGATTTTTGGTTCTTTTTGGATTCTCATCTCCCTTGAGGGAAAGGGCCTGAGTGAGTGATAACAGGAGAGAAAAGTGTAGTTTAGAGTATTTGGGTGGGTGGTGGATTGGGGAGCTATCCTGAGAGTGAATTTGATTGGCCTCTGCACTTTTCACTTCTATGCATTTATATTAACTGTTTGTTTTGTACAGCCTGAAGCCTCTGGATGTGGAGTTTATGAAAGCCATTCACAGCAAAGTAAATATTGTACCAGTGATTGCCAAAGCAGACACACTGACGCTTAAGGAACGTGAACGACTGAAGCGAAGGGTAAGCAAAACTAACCTTTGGATTTGGAGTTCAGCTCCACAGGGAGCAAAATAGTTTTTTTTAATAATATGCAATTTTATTCTCTGTTCCATTGTTCATTTTCAATGAAAAGAGGACTATCGTTGTGGACAATGGTGATGGGGGCAGTGTCTTGAGCAACGATGTTATCAGTTGGTGGTGAGCTACTGGGCCTTTCTTCTCTGTACCAAGTGGCAGTGTTGTGAATGGAGCCTCATCTCTGCGTGTGATGACCCTCCCTAGGGCTTATGCCAATATCACAGGCAAATGATCTTCTCTGTGTGTGGCCATTATGGGTAATCTTGATACCTTTCCCAGAACAGAGTTTCTACGTAACAGATTAGTAATCAATCTATGATAATTGTAGACTTTAACATTTCACGAACATGACACTTCACGGGAATGTCCTGTTCATTGCACTGAAGTGTGGGAATGAATCTGGTACATTGTTCTTTTCCAATGAATAACACGCAAGAAGGTGTCCGGTTGTTTGTGCCAGTCTTTTTCCTGCTGCCTATGAGTTCTAATACAAAAGCTGCTTGAGTTGGTTCAGTCTTTTATTTTCTCCATGGTTTAACTGCCAGGGTTAATATTCCAAAGAGATTTAGCTGTGAGGTGTTTGTTCCTGAAGGAAGTCTCTCTTTCAGAAGCATTGCAGCTTTATAGGTGGGATGCTTGGTATGTAAGTGTTATGGTTAGAAATCCAACAGCTACAAGGAAACATAAAATCCTTATCAGTGAACTAAGTTGTTGCAGGGTTTGTGCACCCAATGGTTTGGACTGTCTCGAAGCTTGTTCTCATGGATGCAAGAATGGGAGTTCTGTATGAGTCATCCAGCATCAAAGGGTTGAGACCACTATTCAAACCGATCGAAAGCCATGATAAGGATACTTTTCCAACTTGAATTTCAAAAAAAATGTTTTTAAGAGTAGGCCTTCAATATCTTTTCAAAGAATTTTTCAAAAATACTTTAATTTTTCTTTGCTGATTGTTTGTTTTCACATCCTGGGACAATTTATCACATTTACTACTTGTTTTTTTGACAAGCTTATTTCTCTTACAAAATAATGTTTGCTACATTTATACCTCTCCCTATTTAATAATTCCTGACCTGAATATAAATAAAAGACTTGCATACATTTCTGGTTTAAAATGATCAACAATTGCAAAAATCAGTGTTGTTGAAATTGAAAGGTTTCTGCTCATCTTGCACCAGTTAATGAGTAATCTGGGAGTGCAGGAAAGGTAATATGAACTGCAACAGATTTCAATTTTATTGTCCATTCCTAGCAATTACAGTTTAAGAGCACAGCTTTTTCAGTGAGTCTTTTTTTCTTGGAATCCCTGCCTCAATCACTCCGACCTCTATCTAAATCCCACCTGAAAATCTCCTTCCCTTGCTCAGGGTCTAGTTTCTCCGAGAACTGTTCAGTACTACATAATTACAAGTTGTTGATGTTTCCTTAACTAAATTGATTCCCTTCAAAAGCATCTAATATTAATAATAATCCTGCATTTGATATAGCACCTTATCACATCTCTTAGTCGTCTCAAAGCGCTTCACAGAATATACTGGACAGTGAATTGATTGTATGTTTTGTGGGTAAAATGTGGCAGCCAATTGCGCACAGCAGTGTCCCACAAAGAGTCTAGAATTAAGTGACCATGTTATTATTATTTTCCTCATATTATTCTTAGTTTCCTTCTAAGATGGTATTTGATGAATTGCAAGAAATGGGATTGAAGGCTGGGGTGAAAAGTATGATTGGCTAAAGTGAACTTTTGTCCGAAATACTGCTATAGGAAAATGAGCTGCATTTGTTGTTGAGAATGTGTAGTGGATTTTGGAATACGCATTCACCAAGAAGCTATAAATGTTTCACAGCCCATTTGCTGAAAACTTATGCCTTTATAAGTTGGGAACTAGTATTTGGATTTCTTGTTTCTCATGAGAAAGTTAACTGTAAGAAACTATTCTTGGGAGGGACAAGACTGAATTAGCGATTATTTCACAAAGAGAATGACTGGCTGTCTTGTGTTGTAAACTTGTATTTCCACAGGAAAGCTGAAGGCAGATAGGCTATAATAAATATTTCAACACCCTGGCTAGGGCTTTCCCTTCATTGTTTTGCTTAGTGTTATCTGAAAGATCTACACTATGGAAATGTATTCAGTGCCTTTTCTTGAGCAAATGTTTAGGACACCTCCTGGAATAGGGCACTGTTAGCTTCATATTCATTATAGCTTTGCATTGAGCAAATAATTTTAAGACATAATAATGGCACAAATGGGCTTTTTACTTCTCTCCTGTGTACAGTAAATGTCCACATTATGAACTGCAACAGGTTTCAATTTTATTGTCCTTTCCCAGCAGTTAGAATTTAAGAACATAGTTTTTTGCTGAAATATGACACATCACCTTCCAAGGATTGTACTCTCCAGCACAAATGATGTAACTAGCAGGTGTTGTGCTACTGTGAAGTAGTTGGAGGGAAGAATAAATGAGCAGTTATACATATACACATTCAAAAAATGTGTATTTCATACAATAAGTTGCAATTATATAGTACCTTTTATATAAAGTAAGATTAATTAGAAATGAATATTGGTATGGCTGTTAGCAAAGCGTCAGCAATATTCTACAAACAATTGAGGAGAAAAACTTGAATTTATGGAATTACGGAAAGGAAGTCCGTTGTTCCTTAAGGATAACTGACTGACTCACACAGCAGATGGAACCTAAACTAATGACTCAAATTAAAAACAACCTGTTTAAATAATTTTAGCAGTAGTACAATACATTGATGACTCCAAAGTGTTCTGTGTTTAGGATAATCCCGTTATAATGTGATTGTCTGGATCCCATTAACCCCACTGATTAGGACAGTATCCTGTCTTCTCAAATTGGTGAAGCAAACACTGAACCTGCACTTTGAAGCAGTGTTCCTGTCTGTTCTAATTGAATCAGTTGTCTAGCGTTGCAGGAAATAGGAACAGGAATAAGCAATTTGTCTTGTTGGGTCTGCCTACCATTAAGGGCAAGGCTTAAATCTATTTATCTGTCTTTTCCCATGTTCCTTAATATGTGCACCATTATGTGCAACTTGGTTGTTTTGGGACACTTTCGTCTCTGACCCCCTTAAAACTCTTAAACTACAATTAATGTAATGGTATCAATATAACACCAGTTTATTCAGCTTCTTAGACTGCATCATATTTATCAGTTTCAGGACTTGTTTTTGATATCTTGAGTTTTTAAATTTATTATTTTAACGGGTAGAAGCATCACTCAATGGGCAACAATCTGTGTCCAAGCTGGACATGAGGATGGTGGTGATACTCTCACACATTTTATGCTAAATTTTGCTGCTCACCAGGAAGCTCTTAGAGATTTCCTGGTACCTGCCACCACCTAGTGAGGCTCATTCTGCACTTATCAAATGACCAACTAGTGATTATCTTCCTTTGTGCGTGGGGAGGGATATAAGCATTGCCTTGAATTGGCTTCAAAGTGGTGGAATCGAGTCAATCCTCTGGCCTTTTTTGTTATTTCGATTCTTGAGCAAAGCAGCACTGATGACAGACCGGCCAACCTGGCTCATCAACAGGACTTTGAGCGTCAGGCTGGCCACTTGGGGCAGGGATTCTTCTCACTCAGCTTAAACATGCAAGCTAAACCCCCAACTGGTAATGTGGTCCTAGCTGGATAAGCAGCAAGAAGCTTGCCAGGCAGTCTCTCAGTGTGGTGTTAGCTGGTTAATCTCCAACAGTACCCTCATCACACATTCTGCGGTCCCCAAGCTTTGCCTCTTGCCAATCTGTGCTTAAGACAGAATTTGTCCCTCTGGGGATAGAGTGCATATTTCATTCCAAACAGCTCATTTTTTTTGAGCAAACCAATTCCATATTCGCTCAACTTTTTGTTAAACATTTTTTTTCCGGAATCCCCTTTCACTCTTTCTTAATTTTAAGGTTATTTATTCCCACTTGTCCCGATGGTCCAACTATAGTGAATTCTCTCTTTGTCAACACCCTTCATTGCTTTGGCACACTTTAGTTGTATTACCCGCCCCAAACTCTTGAACTATAATAATCCTTGCATTTCATATATAGTGCCTTATGTCTTCTAAATGTCTCAAAGCACTTCACAGAATATACTGTAAAGTGAATTGACTGTATATTTTGTGGGGGAACTACAATTAATATAATGTATAAGTATAACTTTGATTTATTCAGCTGCTTATCATACTTCAAGACCCACCTTAAGACCCTCCTCTTCGACCGTGCTTTTGATCTCCCTGCTATCTCCCCCCCCCCCCCCCCCCCCAACCGTCCTCCCCCACCCCGACCCTCAGCTCAGGTCCGTAATTCTGTCTGTCCATCACCTTAGACATGAAACACCCGACGTGGAAGGTGCTATACAAATGTAATTTTGTTGTTGTTGCTTCATCCTATTTATTATAGTCTTTTGATGAAGCAGTTGCTTCTGTTATTTTCAACAGTCAGCCTCTAGGCTCTGTTTCTTTGATATCTTGTGTTTTTTTAAATATCTGTTTGTTTTTATAAAATCTAGAACTCTAGCTTCAAGAAGACTATTGATTTCAGCAGCCCTTTCCTTTATCCGGTCCAATTTAATACCTCCAATACCTTCCTCTAGATTATGACTTTTCTGCATGAAAATATTATCACGGAGGAAAGTTTCAACTGTATGGTGAAATGATAAAATTCCATAAATTGAGTATAAATTACTTTGGTCATTATTTTCACTCGAGCCACTGGCATTGTGATAAGTAGTCCAAATTGTAGGAGGACGACAAGTGGAGTTCAATGCTTTGTTGAAGTGTTACTCAACGGTGAAATCTCTTGTGGAAAATAAACCAGAACTGTCTGATTATCCTCTGTAGTCTAAATGCCTCGAGGTGGTAATCTTACAGTGTTATGACTGTGACTCAGAAGGATAATAAAGCTTGGTAAATGAAGGAAGGAATAAGACCAAACTACCTTATTGCTATTTGGTGTCAATGTGGCTGACCTCCCTATTAGTAAATACCTTTCCTTTTTTTTAAAACAGCTCCCAGTATGAGGATAAGTATTTCTGTCTATGGACATAAATAGAATTGTAGCAGTCCTGATTCAGGACCCTGTGGAACCTACTTCTACTTCTTGCCAGCCTAAAAAGGTGCTATTTATCCGTGCTCTGTTTTCTACCAACTAGCAATCTCTCAATCCGTTCTGCTACCTCTCCCATGACTACACGTGCCACGATTTTAGCCTTGGGCTTCTTATGCATCACCTTGTTTAAGAAGGCCATCTGGAAATCAATATTCACCACATTGACTGGATTCCCTTATTTGTTTTATCTGTTACTACTTCAAAAAAAGGATAAATTTGATGAAGAAGTTGATTTAATTTTATAAATCCATGCTGGCTGCTTTTAATTACACTCTCCTTGAGATGTTTAGTTATTTTATCCTTAATTATAAGACCCAATATCTTGCCCGCCACAGGCAAGCTAACTTTATATTGTATATCCTAGATATTAGAAATGCCACAGTTTTGATTCGATCCACAACTTAGAAATGGTGCTGTTGTGGATATTATGTATTTACCTGCACTATATGAATTAACAGTGTGGATTATTTGTGCACAAGTCAAAGAATCTAGACATCAACTAGGAAACAACTACTCACATTTAAGCGTCAGCCTGGCTCAGTTGGTAGTACTCTTGCTTCTGAGTCAGAAGGTTGTGGGTTCAAGCCCCACATCAGGACTTTGGACCTACATAGCTCATGCTGACAATCGAATGCAGTGTGGAGTACTGAGAGCTGCATTGTTGGAGGTCCTGCCTTTTGGATTAGATGTTAAACCAAGGTCATGTCTGCCTGTTCAGATGGATAATAGAGATCCCATAGCACTTTATGAGAGGTTCATGAAGTGCCCTAACCATCAATCCCTCAAATAAAATTGGTCATTTGCTTCATGGCTGTTTGTGGAACATTTGGCCACAAAATGCAGTTATAATACTTTATAGTATATCCTGCTATATAAAATGCAAGGATTATTATTATAATAAGTCGGTTTGTTACAATGGTAGCAGAACAAGGCTCTGAACAAAGCTGGAGCATTAGTGACAGCCTGCTTGCTTTTTTTGTTTTCATCTCTGTACAATTCAGGCCACCTTAAGCAATGGATTGGGAGGTGGTTTTAGTCGTACTCATGCTAAGTCATCAGTATAACTATTTGTATTATTATTTTGGCCTCAAGTTTTCTGCCTAAACATATTTGCTGATATTTAGCGCAGAGAAAGAGAAGGGACATAAAAATTGATTGAATCGCAAAGTAACACAATTGCATTAATACAGATAATGAGTATTTGTGATTTTATGTTCTCCATTCTTATTTTGGTAATTTATGTTGATAGTTTTGTTTATTTGATTGTTTATGTTCTGGGATGTGTGTAAATCGAAAGGCAGGTTTTCACAAGATACAGAGGAGACGCAAGATCAGTGTCTCGGGACATCCTTCTGACATGAAAGGCGCTGTACAAATTGAGACTCAATTGTGGAAAAGGTACCAGACAATGATTGTACTGTCTGCTTAATATTCAATTTGGTAGCAAACCTTCAGTGGCCGAATGAGTCTGCAGACTTTTCTTACATTTACAATTAAAAAGGAAACTTGTTGTAGTGAACAGCTGTTCCATTAAATTGTTTTGAGGCTGAATTTTGTGTTGGTGCCACGATGGGAGCTTGCGTACAAAGAAGTGTTTTAGATTGTATTAAACCTAACCAAGTATCCAGAAGATTTCTTTAAAACTTGGGTAAGATACTGAGTATGCAGTTAAGAGTGTTTTGATGGTTCTTGGAATGCGAGTGAATCCTGTGGGACATCTGTTATGGGATTGTGTCATTTGTTGTGCTGCAAAGTTGCAGGATTAGAAGATCTTCAATTTAGCTGGTGTGATCTGATGCTGTGCAGGAGTGTCTGGGGTGGAATGAGGCAGGGCCAGTATCTTAGTGATCATCCCCAGTGTGTTTACATTATATGGTGCAGCAGGTCAGTCAGATCAACAATCAACACAAGGAAAGATAAAAGGCAGCAGAGAGCTCTCCAACAGCTTGGAATCCAAACATATCACCCAGGAGAGGAGGACAGATTGCTACTGATAACCTATGTTCCCGACAGAGTTGATAAAGTCCTGCTGTTGTTGATCTTTGGCTCAAATTAATACCTTTGCCTTTGCAGAGTTTAATTTGTCAAAGACAGTGTCTATTGGGAGGGTAACTTTCAAACTCTTGAGTCAATACAAATTGAAAGTATTCTTAGGTCCTGATTGGCACTGAGAGTAAGTGCTTTAAATACATTATCATCAACTCTTGCTCGAGTAGAACAGCATAATAATCTGTGCATTTGATATAATGCCTCATCACATTAAGACATTTCAAAGTGCTTAACAGGATATACTGTAAAGTGGTGTGACTGTATTTTGTGAGTGAATGTGTCATTCATTTGCAGAGTAATAACGGATTTTACTGTAGAAAATTAAATCACATATTTTTCCAAGAAGTTTTTTTATTTGATTTTGTGTTGGATGTTTTCTTTGTAAACCCCCCCAAGGCTGGCAGTGGTTATTGCCATTTACAGAATGGTTTATTTCTTTCAATGACACATATCTGAAGTTATTTTTGCTCCTCTTCAGATTCTCTACCACTCCCCCATTCTGCTGCACAGCATTGCTGGACTGAGACCTTGGTGGGTGCTGTGAGGTCTCTGTCAATACGCTTTTTAACTATTTACTAGGAGGTACCCAGAAATAGATGGTGCCAATTTTCCTTGCTGTAACAACACACCTTGTAAAGATCACTCATCAGTGAGTGTGAACTCTCTATGAGGATTCTGTTGAAACGTCCTCCCGACGTGAAAGGCGCTATACAAATGTAATCTTGTTGTTGTTGTTGTTCATGCATGGAACATCAATGTGTCCACCATGTATGTTCTGACGAAGGGTTGTGGACCCGAAATGTTGACTCACTTTCCTTTCTCATTAGATGCTGCCTGACCTGCTGAGTGTTCCCAGCGACCTCTGTTTTTATTTTCAGATTTCCCACATTTGCAGCATTTTGCGTTTTATCAGTATGGCTGTCTGTTTTTTTTAATGCATGTTATAACACAGCAATAGACATCAGCTCCCAAAGCTTTATTTTCACCAGCACAAAATTTAGAGTGGATTTACTCGATATCACTCAAATTTCACACAGTGAAGGCAGATGCACCCAGTTTCCGTGTAGGTTTTATCTTTTCAACAAATTGTGTTGAATTGTTTCCAATTGAATTCTGTGTTCAGGCTGAAATACTTTTTACATAACACAGATCTTCCTGACTTGAAAGGTGTTCTAAATGCAATTTGTTGTTCTTGTTGTTGATTTGAGTCCCTAATTGCAGTTTGTTCCTTAGATCCTGGATGAAATCTCTGAGCATGGCATCCGAATCTACCAGTTGCCAGATGCAGACTCTGATGAAGATGAGGAATTCAAGGAGCAGACAATGATTCTGAAGGTGAGCCAGTAATAGATTCTGTTAGTACATACTGTAGATAAAAGGTTTTGGAGAGAGGGGGAAGAGAGGGGAGAAACCAGGACACTTAGGAAACCGTGACATTCATCTTGGCTTGGTTCCTGTTTGTCCAGTTGAATTTTTTTCCTTCCACTTGTGCACTTTTCACCTTTGTTACTTGTTTTTAAAATTTTCATTATTAATTTAATTTGGGTTTTAAAAGTGATTCCTGTTGGTAACTGGATATATGGGTCCTGTCAGCCCACATAATCTCTGGTCCAAAGCAATTTGCATTCAGAGCGTCAGGAGTCGCATTTTAACTCCTGTTAAAATAATAATAATAATCCTTGCATTTGAAATAGCGGCTTATCACATCGTTGAGACGTCTGAAAGCGTTTCACAGGATATGCCATAAAGTGACGTGATTTGTGTTGGCGAAGTGAAGTTTTTGTTGTTATACATATCTACTGAACCTAATTATGTTGTGTCACACTTTCCCTTTCCTACCCCGCTGATGATCACCCAATCCTTTTCCTCTCTCCTATTTATGGGGGTGATACCTTCTAAAAGGTACGCCCTACCCTATTCTTTCGTGTATGACAAGATTTCCAAGTTATCATCAAATTCTTAACTTTGAACTTAAGGCAAAAATGATAATACTTCCTACGGATGTGGTTGTCCACGACACTTTGAAAGCTTTCAGAAACTCAGTTTCCATATGGTGCTGTTCCCATCTATCCTGTGTTGGTATCTGGCATCTTCTTGTTAGAGCAGGCTATATAACTGCGGAAAGATAAGTGAAAGGATTCCAGAGAATATTGATCTTGCAGTGCATCTATAGACCTACCATATCTTAATTCTGTTTTCATCCCCAGGCCAGCGTACCCTTTGCTGTCATTGGCTCTAATCAATTAATTGAAGTAAAAGGAAAAAAGATCCGTGGTCGTCTGTATCCATGGGGTGTGGTTGAAGTAGAGAATCCAGAACATAATGACTTCCTCAAACTTCGCACAATGCTTGTGTAAGTATCTTCCACGGGTGTGGATTGGGTATCTTGGGCCTTAAAATTGAACAGACTATGCATTTGAGAGAAAGCAAATATAGATAAATTGGAAGATGTAGGCTTCACGAGCTCTCTGATTAATTTTGCTCCATATTTGATTATGTACTGTGCATTGATTTTCAGTCAGCTTTAATTGTCAGTATTGAGCGCAGGAACTGAATGGAGTGAGTGATTGTGGAATCATAGAATTATACAGCGCAGAAGGAGGCCATTCGGCCCATCGTACCACAGGCTAGCTCTTTGAAAAGAGCTATCCAATTCAATCCCACTCCCCTGCTCTCTCTCCATATCCCTGCAAACTTGTCCTCCCCAAACAATTATCTGTTTCTCTCTTAAAAGCTGTTATTTAATTGGCTTCTACCACCCTTTCAGGCAATGCATTCCAGACTCTAACAACTCGCTGTGTGTGAAAAAAAAATTCTCCTCACCTCCCCTCTTTTTTTTAACAACTATTTTAAATTGTTGTCCTTGGGTTACCGGCTCACCCGCCAGTAGAAATATTTTCTCCTTGTTTAGCCTATCAAATCCACTCATAATCCTGAAAACTTCTATTAAGTCTTCTCTTAACCTTCTCTTCTCCAAGCCTGTCCTTATAACTGAAGTTCCTCATTCCTGGTACCATCCTGGTAAATCTCTTTTACACCCGCTCCAATGCCTTGACATCCTTCCTAAAGTGTGGGGCCCAGAACTGAACACAGTCTCTCGCTGAGGCCTAACCAGTGTTTTATAAAGGTTAATCATAGCTTCCTGACTTTTGTATTCTATGCCCCTATTTATAATGCCTAGTATCCCATATGCTTTTTTAACAGCTTTATCTACCTGTCCTGCCACCTTCAAAGCTTTACTTATATGAAATAATATAATTCCAATGCCAGAGGTTGCAATTAAGCAAACGTAGGCTGACCAGCAGCATTAGCAACCCTGTAGAGTGATGGGGAAAGTTTGCATTTTAGAGCACAAAGCTGGTTTGACTTAGTTCAATTGTATTATCAAGCATAAAGCATCATATCATCGGAGAAAGGATCAGCAGCTTGCAATCGTTACCCGACTGACCATAAACTGAGTGTGGAACTCTCAATTGTGGAGTCCTGTAGCTCAGTGGTTAGAGCACTCGCTTTGCAAGTGAGAGACCTGAGTTCAATTCCAGGCAGGTCAGGGCGAAACCTTGGGCAAGTTTCCTTACTCCACACAGAGCCTAATAATAATCCCTCCAAAAAAAAACAATAATAAATTGGTCATTTTCAATCCATGACTGTTTGTGGGACATTGCTGTGCGCAATTGGCTGCCGAATTCGCCCACAAATATAAGGTCAATTCACTTTACAGTGTGTTCTGTGAAGCGTTTTGGGATGTCCTCCCGAAGTGAAAAGCGCTATATCAAATGCAAGGATTATTATTATTATGAACCCCCAGGTCTCTCTGTTCCTTCACCCTTTAAGATTATACCATCAGCTTATATCGCCTCTCCTCATTCTTCCTCCCAAAATGCATCACTTCACATTTCTCCACGTTAAACTTCATCTGCCACGTGTCTACCCATTTTACCAGTCTATCTATGTCCATTTGCAGTCTGCTACTATCTTCTCACTGTTTACTACTTTTCCTAGCTTAGTATCATGTGCAAACTTGGAAATTGTTCTCCCTATGTCCAAGTCCAAGTCATTTATATAGATCAAAAACTGCAGTGGTCCGAAAACTGATCCCTGGGGGACACCACTGCACACTTCCCTCCAGGCAGAAAAACAACCATTCACCTCTACTCTCTGCTTTCTGTCTCCCAGTCAGTTCTGTATCCATGCTGCCACTGTCCCTTTAATATTGTGGGCTTCTATTTTGCTTACAAGTCTCTTATATGGCACTTGATCAAACGCCTTTTGAAAATTTATATAACCTACTTCAACTGCACTACTTTCATCCACCCTCTCCGATATTTCATCAGAAAACTCTTTTCATGATTTGCCTTTAACAAATCTGTGTTGGCTGTCCTTTATTGATCCATATTTTTCGAAGTGAAAATTTATTTTTTCTCGGGTTTATAGTCTCTGGAAGTTCCCCCACTACTGACGTTAGGAGAAGTTGGTACCAATGTCTTCTGGTTTATTTCAATTAATGAATAAGGCACATAAATAATATATTTTAGATGGAGGCAACTGGGAGAGTGCTCCAAATGCTGAGAGTTATTTCAAATGGCTCTTTACTTTAACCAGCAAAGATTTTTGCTGTTTAGTTTTCAAGTGAATGAGCTATTAGTGAGAGAAAATGTCTGCCTGTTCTATACTGCAGTTCAAATAAATACACTGCCAAGTGTCTCTGGATGGTTCTCCCCTGAAGCTTACAAAAATGTGCTCATAGTAAGTGTTTTGTGATAATACATTTTTCACGCATTCTGATGTCTTGCTGGGGGAGGGCATCGTCCCTGAACTAGCCTCACCCATAACTTTGACTGTATTGGGGGTTAATATTAATGGAAGTAGCTTGCTCTTGTTTGGATTTACACACCAGGGGTTAATTTCAGATGGCGAATTGATGTGTTCATACTGTACCCTGTTAAGTTGAGACATTGTCTGATCTGCAGTTAACCTATTGTGTCTGATTAGAATTCATACCACATTCATTTGCCTAATTCTAGTGTACACCAACCAATCCAAGCAGCTGAGGAGCAAGCGATAGCTGGATTGGTCAGTGTTGTTAACATGTTATCTGTATAGTTAGAAGCATATTTGTTTGATATGTGCTCTTTGTATCTGCTCTGAACCAAAAGGAAGAACAACATTGCTGAGATGTTATTAATTAGAAAAATGTTGTCATAAATTAAGAGGTAATCTGATATGCTATGCCATGAAGTGAATGGTGGGATTTTGTGATTCTCTTCTGAGACAGGAGCCATGTGGACACCTTGTGCTTTTCGATAGGGAGTAAAAGAAAGTTGGAATTTGTGACTCTTCCTTTTGAAAAGTTATAATATGCCAGTGCTGGAGGTTGGGACACAGGTTTCAAATGAAACCTAGTTTGGGTTGTTTTTTTCATGAGATATGAACCATGCTGAAGGGAAATATTGATCAGGATGAATATATGTAAAGTAATATAAAGTAATATAATATAAAGTATTTTGAGATTGTCATATGTGTGCTCTCCAAGATGCTATCCCGTTTGAAGGGCGCTATACAAATGCAAAGTGGATGTGTTGGGATCAGATGAATTGGATTTTATTCCTGGATAATGTGATCATCTAACCTTTACTATAGCATTTACGTCTATCTACGAACACAATAAGTATCTTGTCGTATATGAGATTCACAATCCAGGGCAATCTCATTCTAATACAGTCTGCTGGGTCCAATGTTTAAGAAGCCGCATCATAACGAAGTGCAAAAGAATGCCTCAGTTCCATGTTGTCGGGTTGCTGCTGACGTAACTTTGCATTATATGTGCATGAAGTGCTGCTGACTTCATAAGTGAAGTGATGTCAACAGTGCTTACTGCATATAGCAAACATAGGCAGCACACAGGAAGTGATATTAGCAATGCTTCCTGAGCATAGTATACGGGAAATAGGTGGTGACCTGGAAGTTGGCCATTTTCAACTTGAGAAGCTGGCTCATCAGAGCTGGAAGCTGAGTGTGCCCCACAGTCGACCCTTCGTTCCAAGTGAACTTGCGTTCAATTAAGACACGCTATAACAGGCCACCCTATATTGTTTCTTTTCCGATGTGCATTCATTTGGAGGACTCTACGTAGTGGAGTCCTAAAGCTCAGTGGTTAGGCACTTGCCTTGCAAACGAGAGATCTGGGTTCTATTCCCAGCAAGGCGAAATATTGAACAAGTTTCCTTACTCCACACTCCTCTGTTTACCTAGCAGTAAGTAGGAAGCCGGTTGTTAGTCGATTGGCGGATCGCTTTTCCAGGGATGATAATCCTTCAAAAAAAATAATAATTTGGTCACTCAATCCACGACTGCTTGTGGGACACTGCTGTGTACAATTGGCTACCGCCTTTCGCCACAAATATACAGTCAATTCAATTTACAGTATATTCTGTAAAGCATTTTGAGACGTGAAAAGCGCTACCTCAAATGCAAGGATTATTGTCAGTATTTGACAACCTCTCAATTGAGTTTTTTTTGAAAAAGCTTCCAAACAAAATATCTGAGACCTTTGAATTGGATTTATTTATTCACGTAACTGTGTAACTGGCAGTTCTTTGCAGAAAGTTTTCTTATCTCTGGAGTGTGTATGTGTGCAAAATGATTGTATTTTTAATGGCCAGACTCCTGCTGACAGACTCTAAACATTTATGAATCGTAGCTGCTTTGTTTGGAGGTCTGGTGTTCCAGATTGTATTTGATTGGGAGTTTTACAGAAAAATAAAGTTGCCCTTCCATAAATTAAATATTTGGGGCACTATTGCCCTCTACTGATGGTATTTAACTGTGAAGCTGTGCAGCACCACAGGATGGAACCAAATTATGTCTATAGCTAAGCAATTGCGAGTCTCGACACTAGAATGAACTGTGCAGCTGCTTGGAACTAGTCACGTCCACACCTTGGCTCTGAAATGTGCTCTTGTGAATAGACTGGACAGAACGAGCGGACGGTTTAACAACTGACTCAGTAGGAGACTGGCATGAGATCAATCCGTGAGTGGCTTTGGCCACACATTAAACTCAGGTCCAGAAATATCCTATTTATTTTCTTGGAACAAACTCAACCATCTTCACTTGGCTTTTGGAGCCAATGAAAACTTTACTTGGTCTGAGAGACTGTTGCTTGTCTGCCTAGATGCTGAGGTGCTGCGTGTTAGCAGTCTACTAATGAAAGTTACTGCCAGGAGTTATTTTCTTTCCATGCATGATACATTGAATTGTTGGAATAGCTGGCCACCTAGTGGCTAAAGTAAGCACATTGACGAGCTTGTACTGGGTGAAATGTTAGTCGATAACACATGTAAACTTTATTTCTGCATTCTCAATTGGTTTTTGCTCATTTAGAATATAATTGTCAATGAGTGTCTTATATTGTACAAGTAAATAGTGGTGGCAATCAGATGCATGTGAAAAAGCCTGTAATTCATGTGCCTGATCTCATGGGATAGGCATGTCCTTAATGCTGCAGCATCACCATCCATGGATGCACTCTGCACCTCACTGATCCAGTACAGAACCTTAGCATCTTGACGCTCAACTGTCCTTTATACTCCATATCCGTGACCCGTTCTGGCTCCCCCATTGCAACATAAATCACCATGGTTTCCTCATCAGGTCTACACAGCTGGGGATGTAAGGTAATGTAACTGGTGGACCATTCTCAAAACTAGTTTCTTAGCAACCCCTTGTGCTGTTGGGTGGCAGATACATGTTAGGGCTTTGTACAGGCAGCTGCTTCCTCACGAGTACTGCAGTCCTATCAAAGGTATACGAAAAGGGCAGCTGTACTATTATCTGACAGTATCTTGATTGAATCATGCCAAATTAAGTGCTGAGGTATGACTGACCTTTTGCTAGCTTAGGGTTCGGTTAGTTTACATGGTATATTTACACCCCTTCTTTGTTTTTCCAGCACACACATGCAGGATCTACAGGAAGTCACTCAAGATCTGCACTATGAGAATTTCCGCTCAGAACGGCTGAAACGTGTTGGCAGGTTGGTTGAAATTTAGAATAAAATGTTGTCCCTCTTTTAAAAAAAATTAAAGCTATTAAATAAATTGCCTTACAGTGCAAATAATCTTTCTTCCAATACCAGCAGGGGCCCAAGTGATCCAGCAAGTTTTTGTCTAAAGCTTAACTATGAAAATGAGAGTGTAATTCCCAAGCCAAAAAGAGTGGGGGATTTGGCACGTGTCTTTGCTTTGGTGAAACAAATTTTGGAGATACCCTTCACTGACCCTGCAGCTGTCAGGCTGTACTTTAACCTTGTTCCACTGAATGAGCAGATATAATGAGGTAAAATCTCGCTGTGCCTTGCTTAGTGCCAGCTCTTGTTTCGACAATTCACAGCTTTGGTACTGCAACCAATGGCCAGTATCCAAATGTAAAATTGCTGTCATTAAATAATATAATTCTGCTTATAAGAGGGATTAAGGATATGGGGATAGGGAGGGTAAATGGAATTAGGTTAGAAGATCAGCCACAATCTTATTAAATGGCGGGGCAGGCTCGAGGGGCCGAATGCCCTATTCCTGCTCCTACATCTTATGGTATTATGCTTAGTCAATTTGCAAAATACTCAAAGTCATCAGGGCTTGATGAGCAGAAGGGTCCCTGATGAGCGCGCAACCTCTCCTAGTTATCCCTTTGGTAGGGATTTTCAGTATTACAAGAGAAACAAAACCCACCTGAATAAGCAGTAGATTTTCTGTACATATTCTGTATGTTTATAGTCCATTTAATTGCAGACAAATTTTATGTTCACCCATGAAATTCTGAAGGTGTATTGAAGGGTTTATTTTTCAGAAGTGTTGCAGTAATAACAATAACCCTTGTATTTGATATAGCACCTTATCATGTCTTTGAGACGTCTTAAAGCGCTTCACAGAATATGAGCTGGTGTTGGGATCATAGTTGGTTGCTTTGGTAGTCAATCTCTTATCCACCGAAAATGTTTTGTGCCCTTTGTAAGCATGCTTTCCACCCCGCCTATTTGTTTCAGTGCTTAACTTTTGCACAAATGTGATCTCTGCTGATATCCTGAAAACCAGAGGGCAGTGTGGAGCCATTCTGGCAATTTGCCAACATGATTAACATTCATGTTTGGGTTTCTGAACAGAATTAGACCAGCAAATTATTCCACAAACCTATCTGAAGCAATTCAGACAGCAACTCTAGAAATTTAGCATTTTAAAATATATTTTCTATATATTTATTTTCTATTTGTTTCTAGTGTAATAGAATGTTTGGAGCCCTATGGGTGGGATCCAAAAAATCCCTACCGTGCATAGCTGGTTTCACCGCACACATTTGCAGCTGGTTGGTGTGTGCACATAGCAGCAAGTGACAGAGCCGCTGATGCCTTGGAAGTTGGACATTTTAGCACAGGCAGCGCTAAAGAGATTGTTTTATGGCAACAGTGCCCACTGTTTAAAGAATAGACTTAAAACTGTTCTCAACCCACCTCTTGTCAAACAAAATAAGTTAACCCTGGTCCTTTTTACAGACGTAATGCCATTTCAGAAGTGTTAAAATGAAGTATAACAGTCATGCAGAAGTTGTAAACAATAGAAACAATTAACCACAGATATGAATAGTGGCCAGTACTTAGATAGAGGGTTGTGTGATGAATCTATGTACCAGGACTGTGGAGCAGCCACTAAGCAAATTCACATTACATGTATAGTTGCATTGAATCAGTCAAAGATTTTGGTTTCAACTGCTGATGTCTTTATCGGAATCAATTTGTCATCTTCACTGAACTGACAATTCTGACGATATAGTGTATTGTGATCAACCTCAACAGTGTTGATCACAGACTCAACTTAGCTTCACAAAGCCATGAAGCTTTCAGCCCAAATACGTATAACCTTCCTTCATGTGACTTGCCAGCCCATTTCCCCAGTGGTTCTTTTGCTACCTTCATTGATATTGTCTGCTCTTCTGCAACAGAGAAGGCCGTTCTTGGTGGTATGCTGCATGGTGTTCATTTTCAGCCTATGAACTTTGAAGTTTATTTTTGTTGAGTTTTCCACATTAGGTCATGTTTCTAATGCTGCAGAAATCACGTAAGATGGCCAATGAATGGAGGCAAAATAAATAGTAGTGTGTAGTGAACTGAGCAAAGCAACCAGCTCTGAGATCCACAGTCACATCAAAGGACCAGAGTTAAATGAATTTTTGAGAGTTTCAACCTGGTTCCTGGTAACTTTAAGAAAAACACAAAACTGGTCATTCTCCTTAATTGCCATTCTAGCAGAGGCCACACGATTGGTTTTAAACATCACAGTAGTTGTTGAGAGGTTTGAGTTAAGAGGCAATACTAAAGTGTTCTAATCGGGATGTAATGTGTGCTGCACATGATTAGATCAAACCCTGACAATAACTGGACAAAATAGTTAACACCTTAGTGCTGACTTCCATTATCTTCAACAGAAAAAATCCTCCGCCCTCCCTCCCCCAGCAAAGTAGGAGTATATGCCTAATAATAATTGCCATTCTTGGTAAACTAACTTATCGCCAGGAGAATCCTATATGGGGGCCCTCTTTGGTTGAATGGTAAGCACATTTCAGATGAGGAATGAACATAAGGAATGCTAGACGAGAAAAAGACCAAGGTACATCGAGTTCATCTTCCATCTTCCTGGTGGTCGCATGCACAAATATCTCGAACTACCTATGTATTATATCTCATAATGTTATTTCCTGAAAGAAAACTACCTTACTTGTGTTTGAAGGAATCAACACTTCCTGCTTCAACCGTCTTCCTAAGTGAACCACTGTTTGTGAGTGAAGCAGGATTAAGGAAAATGTTATCAGGGCAAAAACACATCACCAGTTCCATCATAGATGCTAGTGCTACCTACCCCCATGATTGTCAATACTATAAATATGACTTTGCTACAGGTAGAGATGATTTGCCAATCAATATAAAATTTGGAGAAGAGTCGGGACCCATAAAGTCCCAGGCTCTGTTGTACTTGCTGGACATTTTCTTAATTGAGTTCAGTCTTGATGTTTAGTTCACTCCCTGCCCCCCTACCCCCACCCCTCCCCAACCCCTCAATAGAATTTAACCAGAATGTCTCTTTGACTTGTTAATTCCGTTTTCTGACAGTATCTATGTAAAGATATTTTTCTATGCATTTTCTCTCACAGCACAGTTGTAAACTAGGTATTGTTGGGTTTCTCACTCTGCTGTTTCAGTGCACATATATGCTACTTATGGTTAGTAGATTGTCTTCTGAATATAATTAAGATAGTAGTTTGGGGTACGATTTTTGCATATACCCCAATGTTCTGATTGCCATATTGTTGTGAAATAATAATAATAAAAATCCTTAATAATAACCTTTGCATTTGATGTAGCGCTTTTCACGTCTTCTAGATGTCTCAAAGCGCTTCACAGAAGATACTGTAAAGTGAATTGACTGTATATTTGTGGGTGAAATGTAGCAGCCAACTGTGCACAGCTGGGTCCCACAAACAGTCGTGGATTGAAGTGACTAATTAAATTGTTTTCTTGAGGGATTATTATTAGGTGTGAAATGGTGATCACGCTATAGGATTAATGATTGTGACTGCATTGCTGCAAATCATTTTCATTTCATTGCCAGAAAGTATGTGGTTGCTACATGTCATTGATATGGTTATTGTGCAGTCAATTCACTTTACAGTATATTCTGTGAAGCTCTTTGAGACGTCTCAAAGATGTGATAAGAAGCTATATCAAATGCAGGTATTATTGGTAACTTTAAGGAGAAGCACCCATCCCACATCTGTATGAGGAAAGATCAATACACTAAGAGCTGGGATTCATAAGTTGCCTTGAATGAATAGTTCCTGATTCTGTCTCTTTGTTTTCCCAGGACTGTGGAAGATGAAACGGTTGACAAGGACAGGATGCTGTTGCAGAAGGAGGCTGAGGTGAGTGTACCGATTTATAAGAGAAACAAATTGTGGAAGCAGGGCAAAGGAAATTAGACTTTTTTCACTTTAATTTCAAACTACAATTGTGTGTGGGTATTGTGTTTATGGTATACATTGGATATAAATACATATTAATAGAACGGAAAAACAGCGGAACACCTTTTTTAAACGTGTGATCTCATGCCTTCCAAAAATTATTTGTCTACCTTAGTTCTGTTTTTCTCTGTCCTGGGCAACTCTCCTCTCGATGAATTGCCCGTTAATCTTATTACTGTGGTGTAAATGCCTGCCTGCTGTGTTTACATATAAAACCAATCACTGCACTTGACTGTAATTAGCTGTGAAGCATGTGAGGCTATAATAATGCAAGTTGTTTCTGGAGGTGAATTTTCTGCAGGTTACCTTTGAATCTGCAGCAAGAAAAACTGACCCCCTTTGAAAACTCCCAAATTAGTTGATGCTTTTTCTGAGTGGAGAGATGGGCCTATTTTGGAGGGATTAACAAATGTAGGGTAGAATGGCTCAAGTTACAGTATTCAGGAATCAATATGGCAAGAGCAGGATGCTCCCATTTTGGCATTTTTCTAATTTCTGTTTTAGAAATGTAAAATGAATATGTCTTGATTCATCTTTTAAGTAAATTCTTTTCCAAGTAGAAGAGAGGTTGATTTATCTTTGGGGGAGGATTCCTTCTGTTGCGCGTGCTCCTTCATAATTTATTTTATCTAATTATTTTATTGCTTGAAGAGCAAAACAGGAGTTCTCTCCATATTGATTAAATGCAGCACTTCTACCAGTCACACTTTAACATTTCTGTGTATTCTGTTGGGCAAGTTTCCTTACTCCACACGCATCTGTTTACCTAGCAGTAAATAAGAACCCGGTTGTTAGTTGATTGGCGGATTGTTTTTCCGGGGGTAATAATTCTTTCAAAATAAATAAAAATCATGTGGTCATTCAATTCACTGTTTGTGGGACACTACTGTGCGCAATTGACTGCCGAGTTTCGCCCACACATATACGGTCAATTCACTTCACAGTATATTCTGTGAAGCACTTTGAGACGTCTCAAAGACATGACAAGGCACTATATCAAATGCAAGGATTATTATTCAGGAATGCAAGATTAATTCGCAAATCAGATGATATATATTTCTGAATTTGTACCTCACATGTTACTGACAGAATTGTGTTGCAGTAAAAACAGTTTTATAGCCCGATATTGTCATGATCTGATCTTTCATTACAAAAGGACATATTTGAGTTAACTGGTGACATCAGAAGAACAGTTAGAAATCTTTTGGACATTTGATGTAAAATTGGTTATTTTTGCAGTTCTAATTGATAATTTGCAGATAAGAGCAATCATTTTTATATAATGGTTTATGTTAGTAAATAGGCAAAGCTATTACTGCCTGGAGCAAACGCCTCCTGTCGTTGGTTTGCTTCTGTAGTCAGAACCTGCATTGGATTGCGTAAGTCAAAACTGCAGTGGATTGCGTAAGACTCCAGCAAACGTGATTTAAGCAGCCCAGTTCAGTAATTCAGTCACAACCTTCCTCAGTCTAGAAGAAGATTCCCCACTGGTTGATCCCATCAGTTGATTATTGCCATCCAGATGTAATTGGAGTGATTCTGCTATTTGTGCATGCATTAATTGATTCTAATCCTATGACTGCTCTCTACTGTGGGATGTGCTTGTTCCTCTCTTACCTTGGCTAATTGCCACATGACTGCAAAATTGTGTGTATGTGCCTGTCAGGAGCACTTACATTAATCTCATCACAAACATTTGAAGTTCTATCTCCCTTGTTGACTAGAAACAGGATATTATTGTAGGGGTGTGGTTTGTGTAAATGCATATCAAGTTGTTGAGTTAACTGACCATACAATAGTTCTTGTATTTTGTTTTTTGCGATCAAATTAATACTTCAAGACTAGAATAGTACCTAACTGTGGTTCAGTGTGTTTCTGTAGCTATAATGTTAAAACACACAAGAAGTGAAAAGAGTTATACTTCTTTCATGTCTGGGATCGAATTTCAGTCTAGTCTAGACTAATGGGATAAAAATATCCTGTTTGGCTGTAATTAATACAGTCTAGAGCATTTCAATCCATTTTATACAAGGTGCACAGCAGAAAAGTGCCCTAATTTGGCACCCAGTAAGACAGGTTTGGCAGTCTCACTTACAAAGCTACAGGGGTGGTTGTTGTGGGAAATTAAACTGTTGCAAAAGGGATTTTTCTGACATTGAGGCAGTTGAGGAGCTTTTACTTGCTTCTAATCTGTGCTATGCTTGTTTGATGTAGACACTAGGTATGTTTAAAAAAAATGAAGTTCACACCAGCCTTCAATTACACAGAAGCACATATAATCTAAGGCACTCTTTTGTAATGTCTTTACCCCTTTTCACAGGTGCATCACCCCATAGAGCATTTAATGGCTGGAAAATAATTGCATGTTATAGTTTAACGATCATGAGTGAGTCAATCTGGAATTCTTTTCAAGTTATTGTAACAATATTTTTGGCAAGAGACTTGATTTTTTTTCATTGATTAGCAAGGCCAACGAGAGGTTTTTTTTTGGAACTGGCATGAATAGAGCTCAGTGTATTATAAACCAATGTACCTGACTGTCTCACCAAGTTTTCCAACCACACAAGGTTGTATCTTCCAACTGTTCTGAAATGTGCCATTATTGGCAGAACATGTTATGGATGGTTGGGAGGAAACCAGCTGAAAGTCTGTGGTTTCTGGGTAAAACAAACATCTGCTTCCTTTACCGAACCACTCCCTGGGATTTTTGCATTAAGTTATCTGGGGGAGCAGGCAGGGAAAATGACCTCAGCACAATTAGAGCTTGTTGCCTAATTATATTCTGGTTTATAGATTTTAAATTTCCATATTATTGAGAAATAGCTAGTGCAAGTAAAGGTACAGTATATTATATAATATTCCAGCTGTGGCACCTAGCATATAATACAGTGGTGATATGTGCCTGTACAGTGTGAGGTCCCTGTGCAGGAAACATTCTAATGGTGCAACATTTTTTAGATAAAGTGTTTGATATAATTGCACCAGCTTCTCCCTGGGAGGCATACAAACTATGTTCTGGAGAACAGTTTCTCTTTGGAGAGGATTGCTAATCAATGTGGAGTATTGCAGGTGAGAAGATTACAGATAATACAGTAGTTTTTGCATGCAACCCCATTTCCATCAGAAACTGAGAAACATGTTGGATAATATGATGCAAGGTACAGTTTGAGCTTGTTTATAATGTGTCCTGGTTTAGTGTGGACCCGTTTATATGTGAACAATGGACCTGCATTATCGTGGAAACATAGTTTACATCTGGCACTGAAATATGCTACAATGGAAGAAGAGCTTGATCTTCTCTCAGTGTGTAAAGAGTTAAAAAGCCTGAATCCTCAATTGTAGATCAATGTGGGCCTTCTTATTTCTATTTGGAGGTATGACTGCAGTTTTTATGATTTTAGCTTTATTTCTGTTCACTAGCTATATTCCAGAGGCTTCAGGTGTGTGAAGTAAACTTGATAGTGCTTTTGTATTCGATCTCTGACATAAAAGGCGAGATACTATCTGAATACTAAAATTCTGAATCCCAGGCACAGAATGTGGAATGAATAGTCAGATAATTAAAGTCAATAAATCTACGAGTCTTATTGCTTCTCATATGCATACATATATTTTCCGTATGAGATGAGTGTTGAGGGGCATGAAATCATATTAGCTTTGGTGTGGGTTTATGGCATGCAAAATAAATTTCACCTGTTCAAAACATTGCTGGTTGATGAAAGCCTTGTATAAATGTAATTGAATTGAAGAAGGAACAAAGTAGTGTGAAGAGGAATACTAATTGCTGAAAGTGTTGGAATGGAAATCTTCTATTTGACCGGACATAAATATTTGTAGGCTGGTGATACAGTGAGCAACATCTGTGCAATTTGTAATTAAATAAAAAGGGACTGGGTTGTTGAAGGCTGACATTTTGCTGCAGTCCCTTTTTTGTGTCCTTACATCATTTTAAACAGGAAATTGCACACTAATGACATTGCCAATACTGAGCTAATCTCTCAGAGCACATATGGACAGTAAGTAAGCAAGCAATGAGATGAAGTTGACACTGATGCCTGCCCACTCTGTGGGAACTTCACCTAAAGAAGAAGATGCAAAGGCTGATTAACTGTATTATTAAAAATGACATGTCTCCCATAAATCAGTCTTGTGGAGTACTCATTTTAGTTAGTTAAACTGATTGGTACAAGGTCTGAACCATGCTACTATTCAAAAACAATTTTTAAAAAATTTGTTAATGTTTTTTAAAGATAATTAATGCATCTGGTTATGAACTGGATGTGTGAAAGTTTAAAGTACTCTTAACCATTCAGTTCTTCAATGCACTGGTCAGCATGTTTCAGGTGTAATTATTTGTAATTGAGCAGAGCCAGTTTTGCTCACTGTAAGGAATCTGATTGTGGTTTCATCTTCCAATGTAGACTTCTGCTTTCACGCAGCAGAGTATTTAAATGCTGCATTAATCTCATGGTACCTTGGCAGAATTATGGGCACTATTTATATGCCTGGAAATGGCCTCACTACTCCTATTATTTTGGAAGGATTTCTTTCACATATGCAGTGCAGGTGTGTCTATTTCACTCTTCAACCACAGTCTTTCTTTACTTCGATCTAAGAGTTGTCAATCATCAACAATGTAAAAAAAACTTTAAAAATAATGTCCAGCTCTCACTGTGTAGAACAATGCCTCTTCATCCATCACACATCTCTGAAATAATTGTGTTTAGATTGCAGTCTATGTATTGCTCTGCTCGTTTAAGAAGAGCATTAAGCACAACATGAGAAAAGACCATTTTTGGATCATTAAGTCATCCTGCAGACTAAACAATACCTATCTGGTTGTGACTTTATCCCACCCACTTTTAATTTGATAAAGAAGCTAAGCAAAGCAGCATCACTGCTTTTGCTACAAGTCTTTCCCACGTATCCACTGTTCTAGTTGGAGGGGTTGGTGGGGCGGGGGGAATCTTTCTAATCTGTACCCTGCTTGAAGCTAAATCCTAAATCTATGCCTCATATTCTGCACATAAATGCTTACACCTACTTCATGTGTTTAAATGTTTCTTTGATCATATCCCCCTCAACCTGTTTTTCATTTAGTGAATTCGGCATTGTGAACTTCTGCTCATAAAAAAGTTTCACAATCTGCCCTTCTTGCTCTTTGCTTCCCATCTATCTCACCCTTCTTTGAATAGCCTTTTGAAGGCAGGGTGCCCACAATTGTGTATAATATTCTACATGGCCTGATATGTGTGCACTGTACTCTTTTATAATAACTTTTATTGACTTGTGGTTAAGATATTGTATTTGATCCACTTTGTTAATAGCAGTTCCACATTGACTGGACACTTTGAATGAATTGTCAATAATTTCACCCAAAATCCTTTCCCTTCGGCATGCACACAGGCTCACTGTTTCACATTCCAACACGTATCACCTTTCATTTATTGACATTAAAATCCATCTGCTGAATTGATGCAGAACTTCTTGGCTGGAATTTATCTTTGTTATTTACCAGCCCAATGACTACTCCGTGCAAAATGCTAATCTTTTTCAGAGTTGTATATATCTGCTGTGCAATTCCAGTTTTTGCAACAAATCTTTTCTGAGACCATCTGTCAGTTCTTGTTAAAAATAATTACACGGCATCCAGTTTGCACACAGCAAAGCCCCGCAAACAGCCACGAAGCGAATGACCAATTTTATTTGGGGGATTGTTGGTAAGGACACCGAGAGAATCTCCCATCTCTTTTTAAATCATGCCATGGGATCTTTAATGTGACCTAATCAGGCAGATAGGACATTAGTTTAACGTCACTTCTGAAGCACAGCAAACAGAACATCCCAGCACTGCATTGGAATGTCAGTCTAGACTATATAAGTTCAAAGTCCCGTTGTAGGGCTTGAATCCGCAACTTCTGACTCTTAAGGCTCTTGACACAAAATTCTTCTGGCTGCTGAAGGTGTATATTATGCCCACATTCAGTCACAGTAGCAAAAGTTTGAAGCACTTGCCTTACCTGGTGCTTGATTTGTAGCCTTTCCCCTTCCTTCTCCATCTTCAGGTCACGCCTATTCCTATTACTATTCGACCCTGCCTACGGTCACCTCCCACCGGCTCAGAGTTACGCCCCGCCACTGACAAACGCTCTGGGATGCTACCCTGCATGAGGGGTGCTATACAAATGCAAGTTGTGTTGTTGTACCTGAATTCTTAACCCTCTGGGGAATTTTAGCTGCAAGAATTGCACCTCCATGTGTAATAAGCGGTGCCATAAATACACTTCTATGTGAAGAGAATTCCACCAATTTAGTGGCCTCTAGGTGGCGACTGCTTTTGCTCACACTCCCAGCTGTGTGTTATAATACTCTTGTCAATCATTTTATCTAAACTTTCATCTGATCATTCTCTGCCTATCTAATCTACCCCTCCATCTGCAGAGAATGCACCTAATCTATTCTAATCTGTCTGGTCTGCAAAATCTGCTCTGATGAGCCTGTCTGGTCCATATCTGCTTTGTTGTGGTCCGTAGAGCTTGGAGGTTACTTTAAAAAAAAAGCTTTGACTGAGAATTTGAAATTCTTTACTCCTCACTGACTAAATGAAGTTGCCTGCTGAGGGCAGAATTAAATATGCTCAGTCAGTGGTCTGGAATTTAATTTCATTGTGAGTGTTCGACAGCCCGTTCGGCAGCTATACAGGAAGGGGGGGGTGGTGAGGAAGGGAGACCTGACTGACTGGTACAGCTTGCCACTGGATAGCACAGCATTGTCAGAATGTCAACAGGAAGAGAATGCTAGGAAGTGGCTGGTACCCACAGTCTCCTCAACAGCACCTTGTTACTTTACACTCCATAGACATGAACCCAGCATCCATTGCACTATGAACCTGATCCTCCTTAATGTTACTGACAAGCCTAGAGACCGATGCTGCATCTTCACACAACCCGGGGCCAGATTTCATCAGAATTTCACTTAAGTAGTGATAAGTAGAATCTTTCACTGCTGTAATGGTTGGCAGTTTTAGAACTCATGAAGTAACCAGGAGCCATTCTTTAATGCTTGCTACTCTGTTTTAGAATTTAGGTTGTGTATAAAATAATGGGGGATACATGAAGTCTTTATATTATCTTTCCTTCTCTCTCCCCCCACACCCACCCAATCCTCTTGGGAGAAACGTGTGTGTGTGTGAAACCTACACCATCCCTCCCCCATGCTCAGGCTCCGACACCTGACTGTTCAGTGCTTTGGGACGTCCTCCCGACGTGAAAGGCGCTCTATAAATGTAATTTTGTTGTTTTATGGTAAACATGAGGAAACAAAAGTGAAACTTAGAAACTAATTATTGCAGCACAAGAAGTATTCCTTGTTAAATGGGCTGGTAAATTGAGATATAGGATCTGCAATATGTGATCTGTAAACCTTTGCCTGTTTAATGGTCTGCAGAAGCTGCTTATGGAAATCTATTAGAACTGCTAATCCACTCCAAAGAACTACTTTGAGCTCTTTAATGCACACATACCTTGTGTCTGATACACTATGAAGAATGCACAGAGCTCTATTTCAATCTAAAATCATGCTGCTAGGAAAATATAGCAGCCCTTTAGACCCAACTATTTTTGAATGTTTATTTGAGGTGGATGTTACTGAATCGTCTTTGGTGAAACCAGATATATGCTGGAAATTCAGATACTTCACAGCTGAGATCCTTTATAATATATTTGTAACATAACTAGTCTTATAAGCCTGAAATGTACAATCCATAATGTATCTTCATTTATTATTTAACTAACTGCCTGATGAATAATGTACTGTGTGTGTGTGTGCGCACACATGCTTGTGTGTGTGTATCTGCCTGTCTATTTAAACATTAATTTTTCCTCCTCCAGTTGCGTCGCATGCAGGAGATGATTGCTCAGATGCAGGCACAAATGCGAATGAAGCCTGGAGAGGAGCGTGATGGACAGTGAGCAATAGACCAATTTTGCTTATACTTACAGGTGAGAGTTTGACAGCTATAGCAGCTCAGACCTTCCGGTCTATAGATCAGCTCTTAAGACAACTGTTTTTTTAGATTTTCATTTGTGAGATGGTCTCTACCTCATGGCTAAAGATAATGCTTAATCGTGATCTCTGAGAAGCACTTTGAGACGTCTAGAAGACGTGATAAGGCGTTGTATCAAAGCAAGGATTATTATTATTATTATCTTATTTTGTGAAAGTTTTTCCTGCTGCTCCACCTCCCTGAACAGTTCGTGTGTGGGCTTGCTAGATCAGCTCTTCCTTGAGTGATATCTGAGGAACTATTTGTCCTATTATTGCCTCAATGAAATTCAACTGGAAAGTGCACAATCAATGGAGCAGCAACAGCTGGAAAACTACAGAAGAAAGTGATTTGTTTTCACATAAATATTTAGAACCAAATAGTCCTACCGCAGTGTTTCTAAATTGGGACAGGAATGTGTGTGAAAAAATGAATATTATAGAAATGGGGGCGAAACTCGCTCAGCTGTATGTTAAACAATAACCCAAAGAATCCTCCCGGTGCTTCTGTTTAATTACTTCCACCTCAGCATGTTTTGAAAGCTGCCCAATCGGAACATTCTGTGGCGGAGTGGAATTTGAACTCGGATGCTGGCCAGAGGTCAGCTGGACCCACAGAAATGTCTGATTTTTTTTCTCTCTCTCTTTAATAATTTTTTGGGGGATGTTTACATTTCAAAAGCTCCAAAATGCAGCCGCTGTATCTCTGAGTGGCTTCCTTTGGTGTGGGTGGTGTGAGGTATTTTATCTTCAGATAACTATTAGTCTAACTGACTGGAGTGGCTATCATTGAAATTGTGTGGAGCTCACTGGCTCATTCTGTGATTTTTGTCTTGGATAAAACTGTAGCAGTCAGTTCCCGTTATTTTCAGCAACATTATTGAAATTCCAGTGCACTGGGACTCGGTCACTTATGAGCAGTTAGTCCTGTGCATTCGTTGAAGAACTGTACCAGAATGAGCTGGAAGAGGTAGTCATCATAGAAAAAAATGTAGAATTGCAGGCCAATGATTTGATATGCAATAAGTCCCCAGTTTGTCAAAATCGCCTTATAATCAATTGAAAAGGTATTTTAATGTTCTTTTATTTTAATTGTGGAACCTTTACGACCTTACAGTTTCGGAATTCCCTGCTACTTGTTTTTTCAGTGGACGACCAATGTCACATAATGTTTTTACAGCTAGGCTTGATATTTGAGAACTGTATTTGGAATGAGTGAGGATAAAATGCATGAGTGCATTTCAGTAATGTAATCTTCAAATTGTACACATACAGTTGTAATTGCAACTGGCGTCGTGCAAAGTTCTTTACCTTGGGACAGGTTATCTGTCTGGAGGTGCTACTAGAAGCTAGATAATTTACCACCTTGCTCCAAATTGAGACATGTGTAATTCTAATTTCTGCACAGGGCAACACCACCCAAATGTTGCTTCCAGAAAAAGCATTGGCAGACAAAGGAAAAGATTAATTTTTTTTGTCCTCTGATGATCTTAAAGTGAGAAAATGGACAAAAAAAGGGACTTTATTAAAATACTGTAGTCTATTTAGAACTGGAGTAACTTGTCGCTGAACTGAGCTTTCTAATGGTGGCATTAATCCTTAGTTGTGTAGAAATAGGAATGTAAGGTGGCTAATAAACACAAACATATCGGCAATAAACACATGTTGAAAGTACTGCTGACCTATTTGGAATGTCTTCACGCTGTGGGAATCTCTTTGCACCTCAAGGGGTTTCCGTAACCCCCTCCTGTTTCATAATGTACCAGTTACATCAAAGATTGTGCTCTGTTGAGGAAAGATCAAAGGAAAGTTAGAAATAGCTTTTTATAAACACACATCTTGGATTTCATGTACAGTAAATACTGACTAGTGTGGCCTCTGGCAATTCTAATTTTTACACGCGGAAATTTCAGACTATGCTGTCTATTTTCTCCTGCACTAGCCTCCACAAGCCCATTGCCCCCATACTCACCTGGCTTACTCTCCTCCAGTAGATTAACTTTTTAACATTGACGCCCTTGCCTTCAAATGCTTCCTTGGCCTTGCACCATCCTATCTCTGCGATCTCGTGTGACCTACTCCCTTGGAAACTTTCAATTCTGCCTTGCTTCATACCCCCTTCCCACTGTTGGTAGGCAAGCCTTCAACTACTTTGCTCCCTCTCTCCAGAATTCTCTCCCTAAATCCCTCCTCTTTACTCCTTCCTTAGTTGTTTTCAAATTTCCTCTGAATCTACATCTTTGACTGTGCATTTTGGCTGCTTGCCAGCACTTCTGGGGCCATTGAGCCCTATGTGTTTTGGGCAAGAAGCTAGTCAGTCAGCGCCAACTGCTCTTGAGAGTGTTTTCAGAGTTGCTGGGAATACTGCTGACCTCTGCTGCTCCTGTACACTTTGCACAGGAAGCCAATTTATCCATGCTGGAAGCAGGAAGTATGCTGAGCATACCGTAGAAACCCAGTTTGTGGTCACCTCTGTAATCCAGCCACCTCACAATTGTTGGCACATTTTCACAATCTCTTCATTGTCAGTGTTAAAGGATTGACTGTCTGCTTCAGTAAACCAGGCACCTCACTATTCAGGACAGTGGTCATTGATTGCGGCCGCTACAAGCACCCTCCTCTGCTTCAAACGCAGTACAAACACCCCACTCCGCTATTAACCTGTACTCGGGCTTCTCGCGTTGTTTCCTCGACGCCTCTCCTGTACGCGGAGTGGGCTGTGGTCGCGCGTGCGCGGGGAGTGTTGGGATCATGGAAGTGGCGCGAGCGGAAAATCAACTTTGCCCGGCCCCGTGGCCTAACCTGAGCTCCTACGGCCAATTCTTGGTAAGTGTTGTAAACATGTCACCACAGGTTGTCCTTACGTGAGAAAGTGGATTTAATCAAAAACAGAAAGGGCAAAAGTCATAGACAGTTAGCTGTGATCTGTGGCATTGGCAGAACACAGGTTGGATGTATTCTCAAGAGGTAGGCTGAATACATGAGAACTTTTGTTTTAAATGTGACAACGCCTTTATTTTAATGAGATTGCAAGTATGGTTGTTGGATTACCAATACCCTTAACATTACATCAGTGACCAGAATCACCCGACCTATTTCAGTAATCAGGTAACCTCACTAAGAAGGTCACTTTTGACCCAGTCCCTTGAGTGACTGGATTAGTATTCCCACATTGTATCTGAACCCATATGCTGAAGTGCTATTCCGGGATTGCACTGTATTTTCTTAGGAACATAGGAAAATGGGAGGAAGTCATTCAGTCCGTCGAGCTTGATCAACCTATTTATTAGATCTTTTAATCCCAATGCCATGCCCTTTCACCACACCTCTAATAACCAAGTACCTGCCTAACTCTTTTAAATATTCCTATTGATTTTGTCTCTTTCTGGGAAAGAGCACGCCACATCCTCACAGCCCTTAGTGCGAAGAAATGCTTCCCACCCTTGGATCTAACTATCTTAGTCCCAAATTTAAGGCTGTGTTTAACATTACTCCATTAAAGGGAATTGTGATCCACCATCTAACCTGTCATTTCCTGCATTATTTTAAATACCTCAATCAAATCACCCCTTAACCTCCTCTGCTCTAGGCTAAACTTCGTATGAGGAGTTAAACTGAGGAGTCTGCCTGTTCAGGTGGATGTTAAATGGCACAATTCGTAAAGAGAAGGGAGTTTTTCCCAGTGTCCTGGCCAACAAGTACCCCAAATAAAAAAAAATGGTCATGCACTATTTGTGCGCAAACTGGCTGTTGCGTTTTATCCACAGTCCAAAAGACACTTTGGAGTATATTCTGTGAAGTGCTTTGAGATGTCTTGATGATGTGATAAGATGCTATATCAAGGATTATTATTATTAGGGAATATAACCCAATCTACTCAGTCTCTCATTATAGCTAAAATCCTTTAACCCAGGTATTAATCTCATGAGGTGTCACTGGGCACCCTCCAAGGTTAGTCAGTGAACTAAGGTACGGTGCCCAAAACTAAACACAGAACTCCAAATGAAACCTAACTGGTTCTCTGTACAGCCAGCGCAGGACCTCCTTGACTTAATGTTCCAGACCTTTCGAAGGCCAGCATCCCATTTACCTCAGTGACTGCTTGTAAATTAGATGTTAATCAAGGAGTCCTGTAGCTCAGTGGTTAGAGCACTCGCCTTGCAAGCGAGACACTTGGGTTCAATTCTTGGGCAAGTTTCCTTACTCCACACAGAGCCTAATAATAATCCCTCCAAAAAACAAAACAATAGTAAATTGGTCATTTTCAATCCACGATTGTTTGTGGGACACTGCTGTGCACAATTGGCTGCTGTGTTTTGCCCATAAATATACGGTCAATTCACTTCACAGCATAATCTGTGAAGCACTTTGAGACGTCAGGAAGACGTGAAAAGCGCTATATCAAATGCAAGGATTATTATTATTATCTATGACTTTGAACTCCTAAATCTCTGCTCATCTACCCCTCCTCGTGCTTTTCCCCATTTAGAACATAGAAATTTTTGCCACTTCGTAACCCTGTTGTGTTTTTCTCTTTAGGGACAGGACACAGTGCACGTCCTACTGACTGAGAACACTCCTATCCCTCAGATGCAATGCTGACTGTCGATGTTTATAGCAAAAAGAGGAGGAAACAATCTTCAGATTAATCTTGCATGGAATTATTTCTATATTCAACTCTATATCCCAATCATAGATGTATTTTCTATCTTACCTATTTGTACTGATCTTTCCTGACTAGAGCTGGTATCTTTTTTACTGTTTTTATATAGTTTGTAAACCCTTTACAGACTGCTACGTTCCTTTGATTTTGCACTCTGGAGTATCTCCAGGTGTTTTGAGCATATAATCACTTCTCTCCTAGTGGCAGATATTGGTGTATTTCAGAGTCTCTAGCAATGTCATATAATTTTTCACAAACAAGAGGGAATGTTACAGCCAGCAGTGCTGCCTAATGATATCCCTGCAATAAAATAACCTCTTAATATAACTGCTTGGGTTGCACATGATTTTAAAAAAAAATCAAAGCTGCCCCAGCAAACTACTTTACTTTAAAATTCCATCTGAACAAAAAGAATGATGAAGGCAATGACCCTGGGTTGCTAGCTGGAATAAAAAACAAATCATAATCTAATCTATTCAACATGTGCAATAGAATTTTATCACACTTGACAATCATACTGATCATTCAGCTGTCCTTGGATACTTAATTGTGCTGATTCCTTCTTTCCCACTCCCGAAATCATTATCTAACCAATGCTCGATAAATGCCTAAGTGAATTGATCTGTTGCATATCTAGATGCAGATAATGCACCTTCGATCTACCTGTCAAATTGTGCTGCATCAGACACTGTTAACTCACTATACACTTATTGAACTGTGACACAATTGTACACTACTTGAATTCAGTCAGATTTAAAACTTTACTGCAAACAAGCCAAATTTATACAAAATGCTAAATGATGAGTGTTTTGAACTTCAGTTAAAGGGTTATGCTTTGAAATGTGCTAAGATAATCAGTAATTGGGGCATCCTTGTACATGTTTCTGTAAACCTGCAGTGTATTACACTGTATTAGTTATTGTCCTTTCACAGAGTGTATTCTATTAAAAATAGAAATGCTAGAAATCTATAGCAGCCCTAGTTGCCTCTTTAAGAAGAAAAATAGGCATTCTGCATATGGCTGTTATTATATTCAATTATCAATTATGTTTGGAGTCTAGCTCAATTTTGTATTCGCCCCAGACTGTGCAATCTTGCACTGCAGTCTGAATACTAAAACTGTAGGTGTTATTCAAGTAACTCGTGTTGAGACCCAGCCCTCCCAAGAGAGTATTTGCACAATGACTCTGGATGCCCAATCTCACCTACATCTGATAGGTTTACAATGTTTACATTTCTCTCACAGGGCTTTAGACCCCATTTGAAATAAGCAATCATTGTCGGAAGGCTTGAAATTGTGGAAATACCCCCATTTAAAATACTAGTCTTCCATGGTTGCTGCCATTTATTGGAAATGTTTCCAAACTTTCTTAATCTTAAACTCTGCTCATATCATAGGATTATTTTGTTTTCTGATCCTTGCAGCAAATTATGGAGGTTTTCTTTGGAAAGGTCCTAGTCTGCAAGGTTCAATGATCATTGTGACCAAAGAACTGTGCTTAAAATAATTGTAGATGAAGCTAAGCGCTCTAGTTAATTTTTTTAAAAAAGAAATTGCATTTCTCTTTTCTCACCTCCATCTAACATACATTATTACAGTAGTGTCTGGGTGGCTAAGGTACTGAAACGGTATAGCTCTTCCAGACAATTGCTCTATCAGTTCAAATTCTTTAATGGTCCTGTTAATCTTCTGCATGATGAGGAGACTTTCCCATTTCCTCCGCCCCTCTCTCTCTCTGACCCAGCATCTATGCAGGAAATGGGTAGCATTGTAGCACACACTGCAAGCTGACAAGACTTGCTCAAGTCCTCCATGCTACATTTTGCAGCCCTTTCAATGTCCACCAGGAACAAATGGGCTTTGCTATATGGAAATGGATTACTGGTCCATGCTACCTACAGTTTGATCATTTAGGATCTAATGATTACAAAGGAAAGCAGGAACAGGAGTTAGCTATTCAATCCATCTGATATGTTGTTACATCAGAGCCAGGAGCATTACTGTCTCAGGATCTGTCTAGGAAACTGACTGGCCGAGGTACTTAATTTTCAGAGTTAGTTGTATGTGGCAGTCAGGGTAACTACATATGTAGTCACTATGATGTCCATACTTGACTGTAGAACAAGGTACACTATTTCTATTTGCTACAAGAAGGAGTTTCTCAGATACAGCCACTGTGTATAATCTCGGTATATTCACCAAGTTGCAGTTTTTTCTTCTTTGGGGAGAGCAGCATAGAGAAGAGAATTTTATTTGCTTAAATACCAACAATCTGCCACTTGGAGCCTTTCTTAGTAATTCCAGACATAATCATAAAAATGCTTTTATCTTTGAACACTACATTTCTTTTGTATTAAGTGATCTGCAATAAAGTACAGAAATCAACCAACCATCTCTGGTCATTGCTACATTTAACCTGTTCTCTTTCCCAAAGGCTGCCTGCCTGCCTTGACCTTTCATTCAAGAGAGGGTGGGAGTGCAGGTTATTGAGTACTTCCCACATTTGCTGTGTGACTGTCAACTAAATGGCTAGTAGATACGGAGCAATAATATGTGTTATTTCTCTGACGTAATGTGCCCAGAAACTAGCAAAGGTTATAGAATTTCCTTACATGAATGACCAGTGTGTGATTCAATCCCCTGTCAAGGTCAGAATAAAGTGTTATCTTCATATAATTTGTGTCCCAATAATTCTCTGCATTGGCATATTCCTCTCTGTGTCTGGTCCCCCAGCCTCCTCCTTATTAGTGCACATTTCTAAAGACACCAGTTGCCCCCCGATTCCAAGTCCAAGTGACTATTGTTCACATGTGAGCCTTCGTAGTGAGGGTTGGCAGGCGACTCAACTGGAGGGCATCACAGCTGAGTATGATCTGTGTTTTTCCTATGCACATACCACCAGTAGCATGTGTTGCAGAGGCACCAGGAGCAGGAACCCTCGCTGGCTTTTCCGTACTAATCCTAGGAATGCGAGGGCCCATACAGCCCTGGCTGAAACCAGCAAGCCCAGTATAGCCTGGGATTTGAACCAGAGAGCTCCCGGTTTGGAGGCTGTTGCTGTACTACATCATCAGAGCTTAACCATGACTTTTTCTTTAACCTTGTCTCCTTCAGAAGAGCATCATAGGTTTTTGACATTGTTTCTCTATTGGAGTGACCAAATGCCTCTTAGATTTTTCTCCCTTTGAGGTGCCATGTAACATCAACTTACCATTTCCAAATTGCCGAATTGAGATCATGAATGGGGTACAGGCCCTAACCCACAGACTCCATCGTGCAGTGCACTTAGACTTAAGCATTCCAGTGGAGTCCTGTAGTTGAGTGGTTAAAGCACTCGCCTCACCAGCGAGAGGATCTGGGCTTGATTCCTGGGCAGAGAGTAATGTTGGGCAAGTTTCCTTACTCTACAGCCTCTGGTTACCTAGCAGTAAGTTAAGTAAGTAACTTGGTTGTTAAGCGATTGGCGGATCGTATTTCTGGGGGTAATAATCCCTTCAAAAATAATAATAATTCAGTCCGTGACTGTTAATTGGACACTGCCACATTTCTCCCACAAAATATACAGTCAATCCACTTTACAGTATATTCTGTGAAGCACTTTGAGATGTCTCGAAGACGTGGTAATGCGCTATATCAAATGCAACAACAACAACATTCCATTTATTGAGCGCCTTTCACGTCGGGAGGATGTCCCAAGGCGCTGTACAGTTGGTTAGGACCCGAGCATTGGGGGGAAATGGTCAGGGGGAGGGAAGGGAGGGAGCGAGGAGGGGGTAGAGAATCGAGAGGGGAGCTGAAGGCACGGTCAAAGAGAAGAAATATTATTATATCACAGCTGATGTTTCCCTCTTGACTACTATGCAACTATTATTTAACTTTTTAAAAATGATTTTTATGTTATTTTTGCCTGGATGGTTCATCTTCATGAAATGAGCAGAATTGGACTGCCTGGCTTTCATCCTAGGATCAAGATGCTGTTCCTCCTCCCTGCACGTGTTAAAAGCAAAGCTCCTGGGTTGCCACCAACTCTACCACTTTCTTTCCCAGGACCTTTATGACTGGAACACTTGCCTCCCTCAGTCTTCCCTTCCTCCTACACTGTGTCTTTCAAAACTCAGGCTTGGTATCACTTAATCATTTTTGTCCGTTTTGTCTGCCCCCTCCCTTATCCTTTATCAGAATTGGTGATGTCCTGCACCTTGCTTTTCTCTTGGTCTCTGAATTTTAAAAACTACACCAGCCTAATGTGAAGCCCTCAGTTATCACTGGGTTTATGGGCATAGTAACGGCAAGTGTCTTGATAGAGTGTTTTGCACATTAAGCAGAATTAGTTGCAAGAAGTGATCATCAAAAATACTGATACAAATGAAATGAGTGAGATCTATTAGCTGCAATGTGACGACGGTTGGCAATAAAGCATGAAATATGATCCCAGTTTGAACAGTCTGCCCTGCAGTTACTCAATGATTTATGAAAGGAAATTCTGTTAAGATTTCCTCAATGATCCTTAGGCTCCAAGCCAAAGAGAAGCCAAGGAAATGGCTTCCACTTAGAAGCAGCAATTTGGCTCTGCTGTAGATTGACTGTAAACATCATCACGGAGCATCTGATGGAGAATTTTAAACCATTTAAAATCAGATGCTTGATGATCAGGCACATGTTTCGTGCTAACAAGCAGCCACTTGCCTGCACTTCCCTGGATTAAGTATATTCTGCATATTTAACTTATTAATTGCTTTTGCTGACCATAAGATGAGCTCCACTGATGCCTTTGTTGGTAAGTTAACTGCCAACTGTGGACCTGCACTATAAACATCATAAAGGTTGTTTTGTTTGATCAAATTCAAGATCCTCATCCTCACCTACAAGGCCATTCACGGCCTCACTCCCTCCTACCTCACTGACCTACTATCCCCTTACTTTCCTGCCCGTACCCTCCGTTCCTCTGGCTCCGGTCTGCTCCACATCCCCCGCCCCAACCGCCCTACCATCGGTGGCCGGACCTTCAGCCTCTCAGCCCCGAGGCTCTGGAACTCCATCCCCCAGTGCCTTCGCCGCCTCCTCCCTTTCCTCCTTTAAGGCCGGTCTCAAGACCTTTCTCTTTGACCGTGCCTTCAGCTCCCCTCTCGACTCTCTACCCCCTCCTCGCTCCCTCCCTTCCCTCCCCCCACCCTGACCATTTACCCCACTGCTCGTGTCCTGACCCAACTGTCCAACACCTTGGGACGTCCTCCCGACGTGAAAGGCTCTCTCTAAATGAAATCTTGTTGTTGTTGTTGTTTGATTCCTAGTCTGTGCCGAGTTAGTTGATTTCAACAGTAGAAACGGTATAATTGACCTGAGCGGCAGGCTCCACGAAAGCAAAACCATCCAGTCTTCCTGCTGCTGATTGCTACCCAATAACAAGTTTTGGAAATTTAGTGGAAAAAAAAATCCGGCTCTTGACATTGCATGGTTTTCTCTCCCAAGGGAATTGCTATTGCTTCTCTATGCAATGCTTTGTGGGAAGGATGACCTCATTGTACTTGGCTTGTGCTCTAAATCTTTTAGGAGAAATTTGTCTCATAACTTTACTCTGTTAATCAGTCAAAAGTCCGTGGGAAGTTTTATTTTTATCAGTGGCATCTATGGAATTGGTAGCTGGTTTTAGTGATGTCATATTATCTCGACTGCAATTTGCCTTTTTTTTTAAATAACAACTGGTGGTGACATACTGGGTTGCAAGATGATTTCTGCACAAAGCACTATTACGAGCAGGGTCAACAGTAGAAACACTTTGCTGCTGTTGATTGCTGTCCAGCAATAAGTTATGGAAATCTAGTGGGAAAAATCCAGCTCATGACATGGCATGCTTTCCTCAATTACTTTCTTCACATCCAGGCTGGATTATGCTCACTCTTTGCCCCCTGGGTGACCTGCTTCCCTCCTTCCGACTATCCAGACCTCTGCAGCTCGTATCCTCTCCCGCACTCGGCTTTGTGAGCCTATACTCCCATCCTTGCCCGGCTGCACTGGTTCCCCATCCCCCAGCGGATCGAGTTCAAGATCCTCATCCTAACCTTTAAATTCCTCCGTGGTTTTTATCACCTTACCTCCGTGACCTGACCTGCTTTACCACTCCCACCCCACCTAGCCCACCATCATCGGTTGGGATTCAGCGTATCTGCATCCCAGAGTTCCTTTGATTTGCACCTTCTATTTTTTCCATTTTTCTTTGACTTCCTCCTTCAAGGTCTGCTTCAGGACTTTCCTCTTCGAACGTGCTTTTGGACATCTTTTAAAAATTCTGTACAGGCAGCCTCTAGGACCAGATAGCTTCCCGCACATAATCTTTACAAGTCTTACCTTTGCTGATTATAGGGTTAGGGTTAGGAGTAACTTAATTCTTACAAAGACTACATGATTTTTTTTAAAGAAAATCCATCAATCTTCCATCTCCTAACATTCAAATCAAAGAATGTGGTCCATCAATTGAATCAGAATGTAATATAAGTCAAATAGTTTGCCAGAAGATAGATTACTAAGAATGAGTTCAATGTACATGTGGAATTGTAGTGATTGACAAGAAATTCTTAGTATAAGGTTGCTAAAGTGAAGTACCATTGTACCTTTGAATTTCTGAATAGACAATTTTGTCAGTATGCCTTATGGTGGATTTCAACAGGAATTGGTTAGTCTTGCTGGTTTGTTTCACACATCTGTGACATTACTTTCTGGCTGAGAAACTTGTAACAGCTGGATTGTAATAATCTGCTGTCTGGCCAACATTTCTGGCACTTGAATTAAGTCATGAAGTTCCTCGCCTTCTCCCCAAAAACCTCATAGGCAATAGGGCAATTCAGAATATCTTTGCATCCTTCTTTTGTGTTTGATGTTCCCTGCTGGGACTTGTTAAGCATACAAAATGGACTGAAGGTAGAAGGTGCCTAGATATTAAGAACACTTGATTACATTTAGGGAGAGTGCAGGAGTTTTGAGTTGGAGTTCAAATTAGTGAAGGAATTGGCTTGATGGGCCAGATTGTTTATCTCATTACATGCTTCCTTATCTTCTTGTAAATTTATAGTAATATTTATGAAGTCTTCAGTTAGGTATGATACCCGATCCCTACTGAGTCATTGGTGTCTCTGGAAGTTGCTGAACTGAACATTGCTTTCCATCTACTACATGTGCAATGATTTAATAGCTTCTGATGCAGATCAGAATTGGACAGCGGGCAGAAACATGAAGGGTGTTTCAGCTTCAGATCACTTTAGTGTTTTACATCATCCACAAGGTCAGCACAGAATGACAGCAGTAAACGCTTTACTCGGTGCTTTTCCAGCATGTGGATTTGTCTCCCTGATAATATCGTAATCTGGAACTATGTTAGACTATGACAGACA